CTAAACCTTATCTTTTACTATAAGCTAACTAATCTTCTCTTGCATTCCTCCGAGCCAATAACTAAACCTACCGCTGTCATCAGTTACAATCTTAGAAATCATCACAACCTAGCTGCTATGGAGCACTGTCAGACTTACGTGCGGTACAACTTCTTCTTAAATAAGTTTTCAGTCATTTGGAATAGACTACCAGCTAATGTGCGCGATGCAAACACACTTCCAGTGTTCATCTCCTCAGTCACCAGACTGCTCAAAGATGACAATGCACTTTTGCGTCTGACTCTTACACCTTCTTTTTCACCCTACATAGATATTTTAAGTTCTTTAAACGTGTAGTTACAACAAACTACAATTATAAATTTTAATATTATTGGAACTAGATGATAAACATTTCTACACAGGACAGTAATATTAGTTCACACATAATATAAAAGTTAGCATAACGGGACTAGTTAGTTTGTGTACCAAAATAACCACAGTTACTAAACAGAATATATATGTATATATTTATTAATCACTCCTTAAGGACTCCCGTTGCTTTCTTTTGCGTTGCTGTTGTTTGTCTTCTTTTTTCTCTCACCATTTCAGCTTCCATTTGACTTTTTGAATGAGAATGAATAATGTGGATATTTGACCATTTACAATGACAAATGATCTGCAAACATTATTGGTCCCGTATCTTTCAGTTGCCTGGTTAATAACGAATTAACTTTCTCCACGACGCAACCTGGATTACATTTGTGGAATATACTCTTATACCAATGGAAAAGTATCTATTTGTAATACAACGTCACGATTGTAGCTTATAACATAACTGATCGTATCTGTAAAATAGCTTCCTTATTACCCAATTTGGATATAAATCAAATCAAAAATAAGATTCGGATTTGTACACACCCAAGTTATATTGAGGAATTACTTCAAGCTTTATTTTTTCCCAAGTATTTTTAATCCATCCAAAACTTACTTGGGTTTTTTTGTTAATGCGAAGTCAATATTCCTATATTTCATGACGTGCTCCATTGAATGACTGGTTATCATATTGTTCCCACAGACCTAAGACAAAAACGCCAGCAACCATGTAACTTAACCATAAACCAAATTTATGAAATTTAAATAATGCTTATCCATGCCTGTATATTTGGTGTGTCCTACACAAGTAGGAAAAAATGTGTATTTTATTAAAACATTATTATTAATTATGATTGCTAATCGTATATGTAATTTATCATATTGATGATGCCTGTAAACTGGCGTCTCTCATGTACAAAATGAGAATATACTATTATTATTATTACTATCTTTTACCAGTTTCAGAATATCATCGAACTTTGGCTCGATACCTTCATCCTCTATAGGAGAGTTTATCTTCACCCACTACCTTTGCAGTTGAGTAGGTAGGCGTCTCGCTATTACTTCTAGGATAAAACTCGAGTTGAGGTCGCTCATGCAATTCACCGAAATCAAGGTATTCTTGTAAGTCAACAGATTATCCAGAAACTCAGTGAGTGCCTTGGAGTCATCTTGTAATTGACCACCATTACCCTTAACAGCCTGGAATAATTTTCCTACAATCACCGAAGGTCTTCCAAACCTTTGATGCAGTATATTCCTAGCCTCAGAGTACCCCTCGTTTGGCCTCATAAACTTACAGCACTGTATAGCTCTTGAAGCAACTCCAGTGCAGTACCTCATCAAATACATTAACTTCATTTCATAAGAATAATAATAATGTATATTCTCATATAAACATATAAATTTACATGAAAATGCATGCCATTTTTACAGGCACGATCAAGTATGATATAATATCAAATCGTAGATTGTCTACAAGTTAATGTTTCAACAGTTAAATATTTGATATATATATACATACTGATTGTCTGAACCAGGCCGCATAGTTATTGAATTGCACAATTGTCCTCCAGGTTGGGCGGAAAAATCGACTTCGTTTCGTTTTCATCCCGTGGTTTTCGGCATACGATAACCAACCAATATTGAGGTAAGTACAACGTTTACAACGGATTGAAAGCTGTTTTAGAAATATTAAAGTGCTAAGGTGAATCAATGAAGTGTAATGAAATGGGTAAGTGCAAGTATCTCTAATAAATACATTAATGAAGGAAACTCCCTAGGCTGACAACGTTCATTTGCAATGTATAATGCTACCTGTACAGTTTCCACTATCACGATGTCCACTATTGGTTTTAATACATTTTTTCCTCATGCCGGTTTTTTTATTTTATGCCTTTTTGTGCATTTGGTGCACAACCGTACCCTACAGAGAATAGGAATAGAATAAGTCGAATCAAATTTTATAAAAAGCTATAAAACGTTAGGTTTAATGGAATATAATGGGGATCAAGCAAAGACGTTATTAGAAAATAAATGAGGTTAAGACATTGTGAAGTGATATTTAAGGATCCGACAATGGACAGCAAGTTAGTTTATAAGATGCCCCATTAATCTGTGCAGAGCCCACATGGTCGCATCTCAACAATAGGCTGAGTGAATGGTATATATTTAAAGGCAGAAGCATGATCTGTTTAGGCGTTCATTACTATCTTATTCAAGATAAAGATCTAAGCCCTCATAAAAATCGGAAATATCTCGAGCCTTCAAATCGTATATTGCTGTTCCTGCGGAATGGTGCGATTCACCTTAGTGACCCCCACCATATCTACTGATCAGCTAACATCATCATTTAATAAAAAACCACTCAACATGATCTCAAACTCCTTCACAAACTGTAAATAATCAGTTGGGTTTCCGTCGAAACACTGTGGTTCAAATTTGGGTAGTTTGATATTCTTATTATCCCCAGATGCCAAAACAGTAATATCAAACATGTCATGCTTAATATCAGACACACCGTTACAAGTAACAGACAAGTCAATATGACTTACTTTCCTGTTTGCTTCCAGGACTCTTTGTCCCTTCTTTGACCCAGGCATCACTGAACGTGACCAAAATTACAGAAAGTTCCGGATAACGCTTGTTCAAAGAAGACTTGGCCGGCACCAGGACAGACGGACAGAGACTATCCAAACGTCAGAAACTGTCACTAACCGTCAGAAACTGTCAATGACGTCTCAAAGACTGTTGATGCTCAGCTCTTGCTACGCCGAGCCTCTCGCTGTCCCTCGAAGCCTTTCAGAAACGCTTAGTACTAACAGACGCAAAAACCAGAACACCGATTGGCGACTCGAGAATTCTTTATTCTAACACCAACATATAAGCAGTATAGTAAACTAAGGTCTATGAACAAATATTACAAAAATTAATCACAATATTACTTCTGACGGTTGTCTCCTGACTTCTTTCTGAACAGCGACCGATGAGACGATGACTGGTGTATTGATGCCTCCGCGGAAAATGTGGGGGAGTTGGGTTTGAGGAAACAACCATGAATTGATCGTTCAATCTTCAACTACAGCGGCAGCCATTTATGTTTTTGATTTTTATCAACGACCTGCACTCTCAACTGAACTGCTCTGCGTTTATTTACGCTGACGACTTAAAGATTTGGAGAGCAATAAATTCATCGGAAGACTCAGATAGATTGCAGGCTGACCTGCAAACTCTGGGAGACTGGGCTCTCGCTAACGGAATGCCTTTCAACTTAAAGAAGTGCAAAGTAGTGCAACTTCATTCCGGCAGGTCATAGAGTGTAAATTACACCATTTTGGGGCCAGGACTTGAGTTGTGTTCCATCAGAGCGCGACCTAGGTCTTATTCTAACAGAAAAGCTAGACACCAGTGGAAATTACGCGAGGGACGTCGCCAAAGCCTACACAACTTTACACTTTATGCATAGGCATCTGGGAGCTCTCACTCCCGAACTGTTCTTAAGGTTATATAAGACATATGTGTAGCCATACCTGAGGTGCATAATATCAATGCTCCTCCGCTACTCAAAAGGGATGCTAACATTCTAGAAAGTGTCCAGAGACGAGCGACAAAATGGGTGATCGGCCTCCGCAACAAATCATACGGGGAGAGACTAAAGAAATTTGGTCTTTCCATACTTAGTTACCGTAGGCACAGGGGAGACCTCATCACCGTCCACCAGATCCTAAATGACCAGGCCCACCCAAATAAAAGCATCCTGCCATTAAGTGATTATAGGCTTCCACGAGGTAACCCGTTAAGGATAGCACACCAGAGACCAAAGACTCGAGTGCGATCACATTTCTTTTCACTTCGAGTTTGCCGTCTCTGGAACGCTTTACCGGCGGCCGTGACTACAACGCCATCTGTGGAGATTTTTAAGCGTAAGCTAGACAGTCATGCAGAAATGCAAGTTTTGTGTCTCAATAGCTTATCCTCATCAAACTTAAAATCATACTGTCAATGGATAAGCATACAGACTAAATCCCCACGACCTGTTCTGCCTTCTCTCACTGTACCGACTACTCTATCTTTTCCTTAGGTCACCTTTATTATTCCACTTATCTCAACCCATATTATCTACACTACAACCTATTGTTATTATTACTATTCTGCTTTTATGACTACACCTGTAGGGGACTAATATTAGAGTTCACTAACATTACAAATATAAAAATAATAATCCAAGTCAATGGAGTGTTAAATAACAATATATTACCAAAAATGCAGTGACGAGTTATATCAACAAAAGGGATTACTTGGATATAAAGTCTAAGTCCTCTGCTACAAATTATTTATATAATCCACGGGTACGCTAATTGTCTGGACTACGTCTGCTGTAGCTGATGTGTTCCGGTTGTAGAAATGTCTTCGGTTGGGAGTAGTAGACTCCTACAATAAATCCGAAGTATACAACACGGTGTGAGTTGAGCAAGTAAGCAGAAATAACCAGGGAGAAGACGAAGTCTCCAACAGCAGAGTGTATTTTCAATTGTACCTGGAAGTTATGTATATTTCAACGAGAAGCGTTTTAAACAAAAATTATGTACAATATCTCGAATTTATACAAATAACCAAAAAGTGTACAATCACATTGTTACGTACTCCACACACCGAATGACCAACGGGAGTTAGGTCAAACTCCATTCACGGCAGCAACACAGTCCTAACATACAGCATACTACAAACCACACCTTGACCAATCCCCGCACCACTCATCTTGGAGTCTACCAGAGCTAAAGCAGTCGAGTGGCGGGACTTGCTACGCAGAAGCTCATCGAAGATCTGGAAACTCTACCTCACAATCAAGAAGCGAGCTCAAAGAAATCACTGGTTTATACTAGCTCGTAATCAGGATATTGGATATTGGAATCCCTTTTTCAGTTGTTTTAAAAATTCAAGGAACAGTTTGTATACAGTGTCCATGGAACTTGGCGGTAATTAGTAGTTTTTTCACGTCGGTAATCGCTTGCTTTGTGTAGACCAGAGGAACATATTTATTTTAAGAATAGACTAGTTTGGCATACTGTCCACTTAGATACACGAAACTAGTGGGAATAGGAGAGAATAAAACATATGCATCGTCATTTCTCAGAATTTTGAACATGCGATTTCCTCATAACACACCATAGGAATTCCTATGGTGTGTTAAGAAGGGATGTAAATTTCAGGTTTCCCAGTTTGATAAATTACCTATGCCAAAAGTCACAAGTTTTGTTCACCTTTCTAGAACATATGAAAGGACTGGATGTGATATTTAGGTTTTTATCTCACCACGGATGTATGTTAAGTGGTGAACACTTCACTGATGATTCTGGTAAAGGCTCCAAGTATTGCCCATTAATATCTAAACTTGAGAGCTACCTCCGCGAGGTAGTGTAATGTGGATTCTAAGTGATGACTTACTGGGACACCTGATTCCGTTTCAGATTCAGATTTATTGGTTGAGGATAGAAGGCTTGCAGCCTATGCTAATCCCTTTCCAGTAAATTTCTGTGGTTTTCCAAACCCTTCTTGAATGAATCAGTTGAGATTGCAGACACCACTTCTTCTGGGAGTTGGTTCCGAGAGCTTATGACTCGGTGTGTGAACCAGTACTCTACAGTAATATGATTTCTTCTTGGTTTTCGAACTATCCTGCTATGTTCTCTAATGTGTTCTGATCTGGTGGGAAGGAAAAGACAGAATAGGCCAGGTCCGTAGTCATTATTTAGAATTTTAAGCATTGTAATTAAATCTCCTCTCTGCCTACTGTATGACAGGGAGAAGAGATTTAAACTATCTAGTCTTTCCTCGTATGATAAGTTAGTCATGCCGAAAACCATGCGTGTTGCCTTCCTTTGAACCCTTTCTAGAATACGTGAGTCCCCGTTAAGACAAGGACTGGCTGCCTGGATACAGTTTTCTAGTCTAGACCTCATCAGAGATGTATATAAGGAGGTGAACAAGTCTCTGGTGGTTCTAGTAAAGGCTCTACGAATTGTCCGTAAGGACATGAAACCACGTGCCGCCACGCGCGACAGTTTGCTGTAGTTTCTAAATCGTGGCTAACTATGACATCTAAGTCTAAATGAGTCTGAACTGATGGAAGTGTTATTCCCTTAGTTCATGGGAGCTGATACTTGCTTGTCCGATGCTCATGATTGTATATTTTGCCACATTGATCGGGAGCATCCATTCTATGGACCATTCTGACAATTTGTTGAGGTCCTCTTGCATCGTGGACGTATCACTCTAGTCATTCAGCTCTCTCTGAATTTTAGTCATATGCGTATAAGACCATAGGGAAGTCGGTGAGCAGTGATAACTCACTAATATACAAAATTAATAGGAGAGGTCCGAGTATCGTGCCTTGTGGCACTTCGCTACGCACTGCTATCCAAGAGGAGAGTTTCGAGTTAATCCTAACCCTCTGCCTCTTATCTACGAGGAATTCCCTGAACCAGTTTAGTAAGCTACCTTTGATACCAAAACTTTCCAACTTCATAAGTAGTCTTTTGTGAGGTACTTTATCAAAGGCTTTGCTGAAGTCGATGAAGACGACGTCAACGGGTCTTCAGTTGTCCCTTGATTTGACCCAACTTTTTTTGCGGTGAAGAGATTTGACAGGCATGAGAGGTTTCTTCCGAAGCCGTGCTGTGCTCTGGATAACATTTAGTTGTTTTCCAGATATTCCATGATGCCTTTCTTGATGATTTCTTCCAGTGTCCTCATTAAGCTGCTCGTGAGATTAATAGGCCTGTAATTTGAAGGGCTTTGTGTTGATCCTCCTTTGTGGATGGGGCTTACTATGGCGTCTTTCCAGTCGCGCGGTAACACTCCATTTAGGAAAGAGGGGGGCTTGAAGACCGTGGTCAAAGGGCCGACTATGTGAGCTGATAGCTCCTTGAGAAGCCTTGGATGAAAATTATCAGGACCTATTGATTTCCCTGCATCCACTTTTATCAGGCAGTTGAGCACGATGATTTGGTTGATGTCAACGGAATCTAACCCGTATTCCTCTGATGCAACCAGAGCTGATTTTATAGGGAGTGATCACTCCTGTGTAAAGACTTGGGAGAAGTCTGCCATTGCTTCTGCTTTTTCTTGATCTTCTATTTTGTCATTGTCAGTAGTCAGTTTTGTGACACCATTGGATGTTTTATTCCTGAAGCTCATGTACGAGAAAATTTTCTCAGGTTATGCCTTTGCATTTTGAGCCAGATGTGCTTCGAACTCCATCCTTGATTGGCGGATTTCTGCAGTAGCTTTATTCCTAGCAGCGTTATGTAATTTCCTGGTCTCAGGAGTCTCAAGTGTGGTCTGTCTGTCTGTCTGTTTTCGACATAGAACTTTGCACAAATGTGCGGAAGTTCAACTCGCCACATTCCGTGTAGCACGCGAAGCAAGAGAAGAAAGTACAAGAAAAGCATAATAGAAACAGTGAGCAGAGGTGTGAGACAAAGGAGAATAAAGAATAACAAAACAGTTTCATTGGAGATCATAAGTCACAGGGAGTGGATGCATCTGCGCCACTGAGAACGGTTTTGAGCCATGTCACCAATTGTTTCCAACCATAGATTTTTACCGTCCCGAGGACCCCAGCCTGGAAGTCTACACCTTCCTACGTGGCTAAGAGCAACTGTTGTGGATTTCATTGACTGATGCCAAGTTTTTGTTTGACCGCCGCTAGCTTTTTTCCAGCCTGACCCTATATCCGCTAACATAGCTCGTCGAGGGAGGCGATGACTTGGCATACGTAACACATGTCCTAACCATCTCAGTCGATGTGTGTGGTAAACAGGTTCCAACATTTATATATACGTCTGAATAACTTACGAATCACTCGGTTTATCCAAGGGGGGGGGCAATGTTTCTGACCCTTTAGGAACGCACAAAGGGATAAAAGGTGCATTTACTCGGGCGTAAAGTTGTTTAAATTGGTTCCATCCAGCTTCTACTTGGGACTCTGGGTTGCTGCACCAGTTCACTGAGTTGGCTGCTGAGACGAGTGCATTTATGTCAACTCTCCAAACGTTTGATCGAGCTGGGGTTTTGGTCCCTGCTGCTGTTGCTATGATCTTAATAGTGAGCACAGCATGATCACTTCTTCCTAAAGGAGGGTGTTGTATAAGATCCAAAACCTCACCGTCGGAGAACACTAGGTCCAGAGTTGAGGAGGAGTGCTGTGAGTCATAGCACGTGAGCTTAATGACATGTTGGACTCGGGCTGGCGATATACTATATCCCAGCAATTTATGATCAAAGGCGTTGACTGAAGATGAAGTTGTAAAGCTCTTCCAACCAAATGTTGCGTTCGCATATGAATTGAAGAGAGTTCTTTTCCCTCTTTATGGCGCTGATGCTTGCGTGCCCAAATGTGCATGTTCACTCACTTTGCTACGTTCATGAGAAGTATTTAGTCTCTGGATTAGTTTAACACATTGTTGAGATTTGTTAACACATGGAATGCAAAAAGTGTGAAAAGTGCATTTATTTTTAGCGTACCATTGCCTACTGTTGTCCACGGGAAGAGTTTTGAGTTGGTCATTGTCTCGTACGGAGAATTCCTTCAACCAGTTTAGCAGGCCTCCCTTGATTCCAAAAAACTTACGATTCCATGAGCAGTCTTGTGTGAGGTACTCTGGTGAAAGATTTTCTTAAATCTATGAAAACAACATCGGTGTTTTTGTTGTGCCTTGACTTGATCCATGTTTCCCTTGCTGCAAGGTTTGTAAGACAGACGAGACTTCCTCAGAAGCTGTTCTGCACTGCATATCAGGGTGTCTTCCAGATATTCCATAACGGCTCTTATGATTGTTACTGCATCAAGGTGTCAACAAGACTGATAAGCTTGTAGTGTGAAGGAAAGTGTTTAGATCCTCCTTTGTGGATGGATATTATTATTGAATCTTTCCAATCATCCAGTAACGTCCTGTGCGGCGAGAATAACCAGAATATCGTAGTTATTGGGCCGACTGTGCCAGTTATAAGCTCCTTGAGAATTCTTGGAAGTTATCCGGCTCCATTAATTTACCTATGCCTAGTTTGTTTAGGGATCTGTGGTCTATGTCGACAGAAACTACTCCGTTTTCATGTGGTATAACCAGACCTGGTACTATTGGAATTGATGACTCTGGAGAAGTAGCTTGCCATAGCTTCTTCCTGATCTTCGATTGTCGGTAGTCGGTTTTGGGACTTCGTTTTATTACTAAAGTTCGTGTTTCTTGGGTTTTACCATTGTGTCTTGAAGTAGTTGCGTTTCGAACTTCGTCCATGATATAGCAACTCCTGCAATGGCTTTGTTTTTGGCTGCAGTGTACGCCTTCCTGGTTTTGAAGTCCCAAGCCTGATGAACACTTTCCAGCACTGATGTTTACACATAAGTAGTCAACGAGTCTCCTAGTTTATCCACGGAGACCAAAGTTTTTGACCGTTGGGGGCAGACCACGGAATAAAAGGTTTGGTTAATAATAATTTGCTTTATTCCAAAACAGTACTTGTGATACAGAATGGAATTCTCAGCATTTTACTACAGTATTGCATCCACTTAGTACATTAACAATAAATAAAATTCTACATAGATTAAGGGTAATCTCAGTTTTTACAACAACATATTGGCATGTCGGTAGCAATCCAAAATTGAACAGTGTTTGAAGGTGTTAGAAAAGTAGATGCTAGCATATTTACTGGCGTAAGCGGTAACAAAAGTTCGAGATATACAGAGTGTGAGAGAACGAAGAATGTTTTAATTGAGTTAGTAAGGAAGAAAGAAACAAAGCAGCACATATCAGAAAAAGAGAGAGAAAAGGAAAAGGAAGAAAAAACGTTGTACCTATATATGATATGAGTTGGAAAGACGAGATCCAGTTGTTCTACTGACTATTTAATAAGCTTTAGGCATCACGCCTAATGCTTTCCTTATCGCACAGAACACGAGCTAAATAGGGCATGGTTGAGTTTTGTACTTGCTTGTGCGAGCATATAGTTTCCTATATAGGCTTCTGGTTTTGCCTTATGAGATACAAGGGGAGAGTTGTGAATGAAGAGGGTGGTGTGAGTTAGATAAAATGGATTTAGCCCATTTTTCACATGAGTGCATGTGCCTGTCAACCAGAATATTAACAAGCTGGTTAAGTGGCACGTAGCTTACCCTGCTGATAACCTTTAACATCCCGCGTTATAAGGAATAGTCTTTCTTTAGTAGCCCTGGAAAAACTAAGGGGGAACAATAGAGAATAATAGGCAGGATGCAAGAGTCAACGAATCGTAGGAGTAAGGGTTAGGTTATTCCAGAACGTCTTAATTTCTTGATGTAGAATATTTTCTTAGAAATCATCAAGATATGAGACGACCAGGAAAGATCAGCAGACAGAATGACGCCAAGATATTTAATTTCCGACTTGGTTTCTATTTTAGTGCCATCTATGTTGCACACCTCCTGAGTGCTAACCAGTTTGTTTAGGTCAGATTTATGCCGAATGGTGAAATTGACTGTTTGGCATTTGGAGCGGTTTAAGGTAAGACCGTTTTCCTTGAACCATTGGCTGATTTCTGATAAAAAGCCATTTAGTTTGGAGCAGTCACTTTGACATTTGACAGGCAAAGATACAGTCAAGTCGTCAGCATATTTAACAAAATTAATATCATCTGAAGATGGTAAGTCATGTAGAAAGAAAGAAAAGAGAAGTGGGGAGAGCACAACACCTTTGGGGACAGCAGCTTCAATGAGCACAGCAGAGGAGGACTTACCTTTGTATGCAGTGTACTGCATTCTGTTTGAGAAGTGAGAATGCAACCAGTTTGTGATCCAGGACTCAGTTTGTGTCATGGAGAGCTTATTTAGCAATAGACATCTAGGTACAGAGTCGAAGGAGGAAGTGGAGTCGAGAAACGTGCAGCGGACGTATTTGGCACCTTTATCTAATGATGAGACAATACTGTTGTGTAAGACGGCCGCAGCGTCTAAAGTGCTCCTACCCTGTATGTATGCAAATTGTTTGGGGTCTTCGAAACTTTTAAGGGAGGGTTCAAGTTTAAGAAGTACTAGTTTTTCCATAAGCTTTAGAAACGGGGAAGTAATGGCAATTGTCTGAACTTTACGTTTTCTTGCTATTACCAAGTTTAGGGACAGGGACTGCTCTAATGTCTTTCGCACTTAATCAGTTGGCGATCAGTGTCTGTAAGTATGGTATGTGCTTTGCGCCGTCTAAGTGCAAAGTACTGTTACAAGATTGGCAGGAGCCTGTACCTGCACTCACTCTTGCGGGTGAACCGCTTGAAGTTGTTGATAAGGTTGTGTACCTGGGTAGTTGTGTGAGTGCCGGGGGAGGGGTGACGAATGAGATTTCCAACCGTATAATGAAGGCTAGGGTGGCATACATCAACTTGAGCCACCTATGGCGCCGTCGCGACGTTAGCCTGGCTGTCAAAGGTCGGGTATACAATGCTTCGGTGCGGGCTGCGCTGCTCTACGCCTGTGAAACCTGGCCTCTCCGAGCTGAGGATGTGCGGCGACTCTGCGTGTTCTATCACCGCTGTCTCCGCAGGATTGCTTGCGTTCGATGGCATCATCGCGTGAGTAATTCTGAGGTTCGGCGGCGTGTGTTTGAACAAAGTGGAGATCACCATTCATTGAATGTCGTCATCTGGAAACACCGGCTCCGGTGGTTTGGACATGTGCTCCGAATGTCACCCCAGAGGCTTCTGTACAGGTCTCTGTTCGCTAGCCCTGGGACGGGATGGAAAAGGCGGAGAGGTGGTCAGTCCATGACGTGGCGTCGTGGGATGAAGGATTTTTGTGCTAGATTATCATCGGTTGGCGTGTCACGACTCCCTGGTTGGGGTCCGAGAGATAGCTCAAATCGATGGCTCGAAACCTTATCGGATATGGCCAAGAATCGTAATCAGTGGCGAATGTGTTGCGATTTCCTTCTTTCTTCCCTTCCCGATGATAGCTAACGAACACTGTTTGAACTTGTTAAGCATAACTGTTTTCCTTCCAGATGAAGTTCTTTATCCGTTTTCTACTTATATATATATATTTTTCTTTTCCTTCCTTCCTTTTTTTTTGATCTATGTTGTTTTATTATTAGTGTGTGGCGCATCTTTCTTGGTGCCATATTGTACCAAGTTTTGTATGCGTTTAAATAAATAAATAAATGTCTTTCCATGCAACAGGTACATCGTTTTTGGAAAAAGAAGCATTTAGGATGTCAGTAAGGGGAGAACATAAAGCATCAGCATATTGTTTTAGAACATAGGCAGGTACATCATCCGGCCATAAGATGCAAATCGTCAGACGAAGCAATTTGTAGTCAAACACTTCAAGTATACCTTTGTATATGTATGTATTAAAGGTTGCTGTAGTAGCTAATTAATCTTATTTTCATACTAGGGTTGATAGCCAATGGTTCCTTGGAAGGATAGAACACTTGGGAAACATTGAATGAAGTTTTGAAGTTTCCCTATGTTGTACCAAAATTTAGCCAATTAAGATGAAATTTTCACATTTGAATGATACTCCTTGAATGTACTCTCTATAAAAGAGATTCTTAAGTTGTATAATATCCTCGTAGTTTCAGCCTTTTACGTACAACCTTGTGTTAGGGGCCTTCCGTTTTATGCTATTTCATGTTAGTTTTAAGTGATATTAAGTTTCAAGATATGAAGGACTGGATGGTTGTTCTAAAAATCTTCGCTACATTGTCAATGATGCTTCTCTTGCGCCTATCTCCGTAACCCGTACTGGCTACAAGCAATTTTGACCTTACTTTCTGTGGTACATTGTACCTAAGGTGGTATCACTTTAATCTGAAATATCTGATTTCGCTCTTGCCTTGCGAACAAACAATTGTGTTTGCCTTTGTCTACTTAAATATGCGTACACATTTCCTTTTGTATTTCTTTATAGGTATCATTACAGGTAATCAATAATCACAGATTCAGTTAGAGAACCACTGGAAAACCTGGGAGTACTGGACAGCTGTTTCGTCCTAGTTTGGGACTCTTCAGAAGTGCGCACCCACCGGGACGAAACAGCTGTCCAGTACTCCCAGGTTTTCCAGTGGTTCTCTAACTGATGTCAGCTCATGATTAAATCCTCCATGCAATCAAACAAAATCCGTACAAAACCAATACTTGAAAAAAAAAATCACAGATTACTTTCATTTTTGAATGCAGTAGATAAGTATCCCCTTAATCGTAGTAGCATATATCTATGTTAATATTAGGCTTTTCCTCGACAGTCTTCCGAATTCAGTGATATCACAATTTTTGGTGACGGGTTTGAGTTGCTGACCATCCTGCGAAAGAATCAGGATTCTACCTGTGCCTTTTGAATCCTTTTATGATCATCTACTAGTTTATCGTAGAAATAGTAAAAATAAGAAATACCGAACCCGAGAGCATCGTTTAATTTGATAAACAATGAATTTTTTTAAAGTAGGTTAAATGTAGAAGTGGGCTAAATAAAAATCGACACTTATAACTATTTTACTCCCGTAATGAATTTCATATCAACGTCTTTATCAATTACAATTTTTCAATCTAATAATTTCTAGAAGGCTACTGATTTACATTTTTCTGAGGATGTCTAGCTCCCTTTAATTTTTGTTTTCAACTAGAAATAGCGTTCATAATTTTTATTTTTAAAAATTTTTTTATCTTTATTTTTTTGATTACAGCTTGATTCCACACCGTGATTTTTGGTACAAGTATGGAATTTTCAGCGTGGATATCGGTAGCTCAAATTTCGCAGGCCGACCATAGATATCAGGTGTGCATCGGCGTGGGCTCGAACCCCGGACCATGTGCATGGTTAGCGAGAGTCCTAACCACTGTGCCACCGATGCACATAATTGTCGTGACTAATTCCTTGTAGATTTAGTTCTTGTTTGCACGATCAGCCGTCTTCTTAGTCTAACCCAGCCTAACTTGATGGTCACGTTGCTCCTAATCCCGACCCGAATAATGAAGGAAAAATGCTGGATTAATGCAAGAATGTAGAAGAAAGTCCCCTGTGTGTCTTCAAAGTGAACTAGAACATAGTTTAATTCTCTTCGTCAGAAGCTTAATAGCTGTTGCATGTCATTACATGTTAGCTTTAAGCTTTAGAAGAGAATTAGTATTATTGCACGTCCAGAATTTGATGTACTGATGGCTGTTAAAAATGATCGAACCCACACCAAACAATTTTTCATTCATTGTCAGTAGTCGTCTGTCACAACTGGTTGTCTTTGTGTCTTCTTGTTTGGCATTAATGATATAATTCGGGAGCCAGTAAAACTTATAAAAATCTTCGACTAGAGCCTTTTTGTTTCGTATAGCTTTGAGGTAAATTTGGTTGAACAAAGAAAGTTGCATTCCAATATTTTCCAAATTTTAATCGTTTCAGATTCACAAAGGGAAGCAGAAGATTATGATGCGTATGAAGAATTATTGGCTGAGTATGATGCTTATTATTAGTCATATTCTACTTTGATCAGGTCACAAGAACCATCATCAGATTTTGATGTTACTGTTGGACACTTAGAAGATATAATGATGAGTAAGTTAAACTTTTATTTGAGTGCGCTTTTGTAATGAATGAATAAATAACTTTCACTAATTGTTTATATTCTTTATGGTTCATGTTGCCATATCATATATCAACTAAGCTAAATGTTTAACATAGGATTTCGCACAAAAGTGCAGCATTTCAAGTTGCCGAATTTCGTAAAACACACTAAGACAGAGGGAAGAGAGGAAATTCGAAGAATTAGTGTCAGTAAAAAGTTTGAGCATTGTGGAATGGATCAAATATATTATAATTATATTACAATAGTTTACACGCAATAAGTTTTTGTTTTTTGGTAATATTTTGAGCCAAATTATTGCTCGTGATCACACCCACTTTCGAAGAAACTAAGGAATTAAAATGTACAGGAGTAGAATAATTACATGATAAAAATCCAACAGATCTACGAGATCATTGTGAGTCAAATAATCTACATGGCTCAAAGCAACGGTCAAAGACTTCATGAATTACTTTTATGTTTTGGTTTGACCGCCCCAAACTATTTTCCAGTCAAATCCCAGGTCAGCTGATGCCGCTCAACCAGGAATGTACTGGCTTGACAGGCTTGAAACTTTTCAATCATATCAGTCGATGCAGCTTCACAACCCCATCGAATGACTTAACCTCGTTACCTAACACTGCCTAACCTCAATATTACTTACCATATTCTATTACTTAGCACGAAAGATAAAAGGCACATGTCTCTGGTCAATGACGGCTAGCCTCCCACACTCAGTCACCCAAACTGATAGATAGTTAAGATAGAGTTGTTTTACTTATCATTGGTGTTTCGCACCCGTTTTCCCTAATGAGTCTAAATAGTTATCTAGTACTACCTACTACCGATACCTTCTCCGTCTGTCGCTTTTGTCTCCCACCATTGTTCTCTGTCCTTGTGAGGACCTCTAGTCACACTGCATTTTAGCAGCGTTTTCTCCTCAAACCTGGTGGAACCAGTTTTCGTGCGTCAACCAGTTCGGATGAAACAACAGAAATCCACGGGCATTTATTAACATTTGGTTGCAGGTTATCCACAGGCTTTGCTACTGTTTTCGCAGTAGACTAGACACTATGCCAGAGTTTCTCAGGATGGATATTACTCTCAATCTCAGATAGGCGTTTACTTATTTATTCATATGCTTAAAGACTGTGTCTGCGTTAAGTCGGTCGCTTCCACGAACTAGTGAGTGATCAGAATCTACTCTGCTGTTGTACAAGGGGTGGCAGTCTTTAACTGATCGTCTAAATTAATAGGTTATAGCTACGTGATTTGTTTGCGTTCATCATTGAATCGATTTTGGAAATCGCCAGGTGAGAGCTCATCTTATACTTTGTCCGTTTCGCAGTCTGTTGATGCCTAAAGAGAGACTTTGTGGAGGCGTAAATGGGTATCACAATCTTTCCTTCTTACGCATGCATTCAGCTGGACAACGCACACTAGACTTTTCACTGGAATCCTACCAAGTGGCTATTGCTTGTCTTAGCGTCCAATTCTAATCCTATGCCAGCAGGTGCATGCAAACTACCGCAAGAATTTCCTGACACCCGTAAGATAAACTGTGTAGATTCATCATATTCTCTAGGTGGGGTTAAGCGAATAGCGACTCTTGCGTCTTGTATGTGTCCCCGAAACTTATATTCCATAACCCGAGATGCCGGAGTTCTGGGTAGTTAGGCAAGTTGTTCTACTTGGAATAAATGTCCAGATGCTAAATGCTCCACTGTAAAGTTGGGACTGTACTTATCTTACATTCATAGTGGGCCATTTAGTAGCATTCCATATATATTCTCTTCTTTCTGTGCGGTGTTTTGAATTTTGGCAATTTGACTAGATATGCTTTGTGCAGGATCTGCGTCCTTTCATCTATAACACTGACATATATTAGCATATTATGATGGGAAGGGTTTATGCTTTTCAAATAAATGTAAACTCAGTCGTTTCTAAATTTTTTCTTTAGGTGATGAATTCCAGAGAGTACAAGATAAATTTATAAATGAATATTATAACGAATTTGAGGATACTGGAGAGAATAAACTATGCTATACAGAAATTCACAATAAATACGTAAGTGAAGTATATTCGTCTCTTCTTTTGGTTTATATAATCTTTATATGCCAAAATAACAACATTAACTTTTAGATAAGTACAGTTGAAAGAATGTTAGAAAAACAGTTATGTGAAAGAATGCCTAATTTTTCAATGCGTACATTTATGGATAGTCTTGCGTAAGTGTTTAACTTTTTGTATTTGTGGTAGGTAACAGAAGAGTCTTTATGACTTTTATGACTGTGAAGTCATTAGTGAATAAATGTTTGCTAACTTAATTCGATTGAATTCGTAACCTACAGTGTCCTGTTGCAAAAGTAGAAAATATACCTTAAGGTCAATCACTGATATGAGATTTAAGTAGCTATACAGTTAACTGACTTTAATGAATTTTCTTCATCATTGATAAAACTTAACTGGAATTCCACTGGAAGCTAAAGAGCACTGAACATTTGTTTCGTTCTACTTAGAGTTTAGTTGATGGGATGCAGCCAAGATCGGACTCAGCAGTGTAAGATCTTGCAGAAAGTATATTGATGTTTAGTCACTGGATTAAAATTTGCTATGTGATGAAAATTACTTAGAAGCTAATCAATCATTCAGAATTTAATGAATCATATAGCATATTAATGTCCTCACTAGTGTTAAATATCAGAACGGATCTCCTTAGGTTCTGGTGAAAAGTTGCAATCTATACAGTCAACTAAGTTTGACGTGTATCGATTGCAGTAGACGCGTTTCACAGGGAAATGGAAGAAGTTAGAAAAATTGACGATTGAACTAGAACTCAGTTATGGAATTACAGCATGCGTTTTACAAAGCTTTACAGTGAGAGTGACAATTTCCGAACCAAAGCGATACAGTTACGCAGTACTCATTAGTTTCCAAGGGTTCTTTGCCACATTCTATCAACTACGATAAATGTTTTGAAACTATGCTTAATAGACCAACTAATACGTTAAATAGTTCCACTACCGTTTTTCAATTGAAGTAGCACAATTAAAGCCCATTAAAATTTCCAGAACAATGGATACTGCACAAAGAATACTCCTTTTGATAACATCATCAAGTTCTACAGTTATATATACATTATAGTGAATGAATTAGTGTTGTGAACAACAATAATGTTTAAATAACATCGAATTAATAATGTCAATAGATTACCGTTCAGTAGCATCAACATAAAGATAAACTGAATGGCAGGAAAATTAGCGAAGATAATATTACAAATTTATGAATTTATAGTCTGTACTGAAGGCCAGGACAGTAGTAGTGGCTGGACTTACTTCTTTTACACACAAAGCACTGGTTGTTTCACGTGAAATGTAATAGCCTCTGATGTTTGGAGCATGTGGTGCTTGGGTGTTTTTGTCAATTTATTTGACACTCGGTAGATGATAGAGAAGGATTCTTCAACGCTGGCCGGTTTGAACCAGATGGTCTAATATAGAACTATTGATGGTTTTCACTTCACCTTTACTTAGCCATACTGGGAGATGTTCTCGAGCACGAGGAATCAAGTTCCTAGAGCAACGATCGACATGACTCGCTCCTCAAGTGCAGTTGAATTGGTAGATACAATTTGAAGCGGCCAGTCTAGGTACTTCATCTTTCAGTCGAGGAATCACCATCGGTCGTATAGAGAATAAGACATGAAGTTCGTCAGCATTAAAAGTTCTTTGAACTGATTTTCTTAATTTTTTCGTAATTATTTCATTTGGTATATCGCCCTTGAATTGCAGTCGTATATAAAGAGGCTTTTTTACGGATTGTGAGTAGTCCTTTTCCGCTTTCTTTGTCATGTGTTTCTTGACAAATTTGTCGGGATAGTTATTTTCAATACAAGTATCGTATACAATGCTTAATTCATCTTCAATTACTTCTTCTAAGCATATAGCTCTGACTCTGTGGCTGAGAGTCTTTACCAGATTTCTTCTGTACTTGAGAAGAACGAAGCTGTGAAAATGTGTATATTGTCCTATCTATGTACTTTTTCTATGCAAATTTCTTTTTATGCTACCATCTGGTTTTCTTGTAAGTAGGACATCCAGGAAAGCAATTCTGTCTAGGGATTCCTCTTCACATGTGAATTTCATAGCCGAATGTACTTCATTGAATTCAGTAATTATTGTACTCTTATCAGAACCATTATCACAAAGAATAAAGGTATCATCTATATATCGGCAATAAAATGAGAGCTTACTGATAAGGTTGTTCAGAGGTCCATTTTCTAGTTTACTTAGAAAGAAATCAGCCAAAATGGAATCCAATGGTGAGCCCATCGCCACTCCGTCCACTTGTCTGTAAAGTATGCCGTCAAATTTGAAATTCACATTCATAGTACACCTCAATAACAATTCGTTTAGGATTTCAGTACGGATGCCAATGTTTATCGACTGGTTATCCACTTGTTCAAATATGTAGTTAACTGTTCCTAATAGGGGTACATTTGTGAATAAAGATGTTATGTCCAGAGATATTATGGTTTTGTCCTTGATATTAATATCTTTGATTTTGTCTACAAATTTAAATACATCCTTGACGCTATATTACTATCTTCTCATACAAAGGTTTGAGAATATTTGCTAACCATCTAGCTGGAGCATGATAGGGCGAATTTTGCATATCAAGTATTGGTATTAACGGTACCCTTGTTTAATGTACTTTAGGAGAGCTGTAAACATCCATCTCACTTAAGGGATAGTCTGGTCTCTCTGAGATACTCCTTCTCGGGACACTGATTGTGATGGCTGTTACTGGCAACTATTCAAGTCGCTTATTCTGACTGATGCGAAAGACTACAGGCACTTTATATCTAGTAGGTGGACCGTCGAAGTCTGTGTATTACCCTTTTCACTATCGGGGGGTCTATGATTCATTGGTGGAACGCTCTTCAGCTACACACATGGTTTGAGTTCGATTCCTGACCGACGCCTTCCTAATCCTTGCTTAAGTGGTCACAAGCCCCGTAAACACGGTAAAGAAAAACATCACAGCTACTGAGACTACAAAGCTGAAGCTTGAAGCGCAAAGTTCCAATCAGAACGTGAAGGATTAATATGCATATATATATATATATATGTTTATAATCATATCTGAAAATTAAATTAATATTGTAAAACTATTACAGAATTCTAAGGAGTTTTTATTGAAGAATCATGACAGCACTTTGCTTAGAAACCGAATAGTTGAAAACAGATCTTATAGTTGATTCACTGAAAACTCTTTCGAGCTAAGTCTTCGCAGTCACTGTCTTTGTGTAATTATTGTAAAGTGGGAGATATAGCCCACCAATTAATTTATTTATTCTAAATCCAACACAATTAATGCAGTCAGATATAATGTAGTGATGGCGATTTGGTAAGATTATTAGTGCAAACCATTACATTGCAACCGAACAAATTCGTAGTGAATGTTTTAGCAACTCTTATTATGTAATCAATGTTCTAGACTCAAATGGTAGTCTTTCTCGTAACACTTATCACTTCTAAATGATATTTGTCTTGATATGATTATGAACAATAGTTTGTGCTCGAAACGTCATCAGTTAATATAACTGTACAACACTGTGTGCTTTATCGAAATAAAATCTTATCCATAATAGACTTATACTCTACCACAGTGCCCAAGTTCTATACACTTATATCGATATTTGTCTTGAGGTAAGAATAAGAGAATGTAACTTGAAATAACAGTTTATTCGCATACTTAAGTTCTACCCCCAATATACAAGTACCTGACTATTTTTCTTTTCTTTTTTCTGTATAGACCAAACAGTGACTGTTTAGATGGAGAAGTATTTGAAATGTTATATACATTCTCAGATTTCCTTGCATTCAAGGAAATGATGCTCGATTACAAAAAAGTAAAAATTGACAAAATATTTCTCTAAATTTTCAAGTATTGGTTTTTGTAGGGATTTTGTTTGATTGCATGGAGGAATTTAATCATGAGCTGACATCAGTTAGATAACCACTGGAAAACCTGGGAGTACTGGACAGCCGTTTCGTCCTAGTTTGGGACTCCTCAGCAGTACGCACCCACCGGGATTCGAACCCAGGACCTTCTGGTTACAAGGCGAGCTCGTAGACCATTGAGCCACTGGGACCCGATCCAATGGTCCTTGAATTCTAACTTCTGCCAGTTCACGACATAGCGCGACCACTTCGCAATGTCTTCTTCGATGAGTTACTGCCTCATCTTCAACCTGCTGTACCCTACTGGTCACGGCTTCCCACTAGAACCCCAGGTTAACTGCCTGAATAGGGCCAGTCACTAGTGAGCATCAGATTTCTCTAAATGTTTGCCTAGAAATTATTTGGTTGTAACATTAATAGCATATGTGTTGATGATTTCAATTAAGGCATAACTATTTCTGTAGTCTTTAATTTCGTATCACAAGTACTGTTGCCTGAATTAATCCAATTGTTACTTTTATTGCCAAGATTTTGAGTAATTTCAGCATACAAAATGGTGGATATTGGCGTAGATATTGTTTTAATGAGAGAAAAGAGTTTGGGCACTGCACTGGAATCTGGTTCCATACCAAATAGTTTCGTCTGAAAGTACATAATGATACAGCTTTAATAACTGAACCGAGCACAATTTATTATCGACAATCATGTCAGCGAATTCGAAAGATTGATCTGCTTCTTATAACCTTCCTGCTTTTTTTGTTGCAATTTGCCATATATCATGGATAGGGGTTGCATAATTTCTATCGCATATACTCGGCGGTTGACATCTCTTTTTTCACCTAACTATACTGCTTTTTAATACCTTCCTCTTATTATCCTATTCTGTTGTATGATCACATGCAGGTGAATGCATTGCAGTGGTCTGTGGTCATGGGCAGTAGTTTTGCTCAAAATTAAAAGACTTATCACTACATGTCAGCAACCATTAAAATATAACTGCAATTAACTGATGTATTTCACAATTTAAAAAGTTTTCAAAGACATTGTTGAGAGGTTTTTTCTTTAAATGTGCTGTGAGCAAAACAATAAACCAGCATTACAATTACTGTAGTTAAATAATTTACTATACTCATTTATCCGAAGTCTATCCAAGCTTATTTAGAATGCAACTAACTGTTTTCATCATCTGACGTAGTCTTAAAGTTCGCTTCAGTGGGTGTGAAACCCTGTAGAGAGGGAAGGCTGGGGGCGTTAGGCTAGCTACCTCACCCCATAAAACCCACCACTGCCACGAAAACTTGAAAGCTCGAGCTTGAAGCCCATATTCTACTCGGAACTCAAAGGAATGAAAAACAGTGTACGTAGGTTGAGTCGCATATAGTTGGTTGTGTTTTTTATATTGTCAACTGTCTGGAGTAGCTAACAAGAACAATTTATATATATATATATTCCTTGTGTAAACAGCTCTGTAAACTTGACATTGAGTGACAAATGAGAAGTTCGGCTCCGAGGCTTCATATTGTTTAATTTATAAAATACAAAACTTAATTCAACTAGCCTGTTTGTTATATTCTGTGTAATAATAAGTAAATTGTCCTTACTTTATCCACTTGGGTCGAATTTGCGTTGAAACACGGCAAATTTATTGTGTGGCTATCGCTATTTGGGACGGAAAATTGTTTAATTTCAGTCACATGGTTGCCAGAACAAATTGTCATTTCATTTACATTGAAGTAATTAAGGGCTTCTCAGTGAACACAGAGAAGATAGAGGTGATGAAAATAACCAACCAACCAACACAAGCACCAATTACTATCAACGGGAGGTCATTTCCTTCACTAATCCAGGGAGCATCGTCCCAGCTACAGGTGGCACGGATGAAGATGTCAAAACCAGAATCGGAAAGGCAAGACAGTCCTTCATCACTCTGAAACCAGTTTGGAAACCTGCATTCAACATATGGAACAAAATTCGGATTTTGAACACCGATGTCAAGTCAGTCAGTGTTTCTATGTTTTTCAGAAACTTGGTGTGTCACAGAAAGCATTTCTAACAGGTTGTAGACTTTTATCGACAGTTTCCTTCGCTCCACACTGAATATTAAGTGGTCAGAAATAATTACCAATAGGAAACTATGGAAACTAACCAAATAAGAACTTATTGCTCAGCAAATATTCTGGAGAAAATGGAGATGGAGTGTACATACACTGCGGATGCGGTTGAATGACATCGCGCACTATGCCGTCGCTCGAGTGGAATCCGAGTGGGAAACGACAAATTGGGCTTGGGTCCGAGATTAACGTCAAGGAGATCATATGGTGAGGCTATGAAAACTTACGGGCAATCGTAGGGCTAGCTGAAGACGACTGTAAAGAACAAGACATATTGGAGCTATGCTGTTGAAACCCTGTGTTCCACTCGGAAGCCAAGGAAACAATAATAATAATTAGCGCTGAAGTTGTTGTCTAGAAGGACAGTGTGAGATTCTCATTTAAATCATCCAACTCAAAGAACGAAACTACAACAAATACCTAGATATCACTTTAGCTTTAAATACTTACTAGAGCAGTATATAAAAGATGAAGGGATGTGTTAATATGAAAGCCATGTATGATCCTGTTGTACACTTTAAAGCTATTTATGTACTGTCGATCTAACTCACACTGATTTACCTTCATGAATGAAACACGACTGTAAGTGTAAGTTAATTAATGTCACTAAGTGTATTTCAGTTTTTTCAGATACTGTACTCGTTTTCACTACAACAGCAATGATTTTTTGCATATTCCGTTAAATTCTCTTTTTTTTGATACTCAAAATAGGTTAAAACAGGACAAACAGTTAATTTGGAATTGACCAATACCTATATCACATGTAATTCTCAAGTAACAGATCCACTGGTTCAATTAAGTGGAAATCACAGATCTTATGATCTGTTTCCTTGTATTACAACAACATGTTCTAATGGTGAACAGAAAGACTGTAGTAATGGGCACTGATGTGCTTGTGTGCGTGTGTTTATACGTGTATTTATAAAGCATTTACATGTAAGATAAAAGTAGATATATGCGAAGCATAGTTTCCCAGTGTACTTGATTGCATTTTTCATGACAATAGTTAACTGTTACCGTTTTCTGTTCAAATACCAAAATCGAGGTGTTATATAAGGTTATTTTTATTGAAGTGATTTCAAAGGATATTATACCTTGAAAAATAATTTAAAATTAAATTTCTTTTGATATGAATGCTAATTGCACAGTGTATTGAGAGTTAGCAGTATCTTTCTCTTTAATTCACTCAATTAATAATAAAGAAAGAAATGAGATTTGAATTGTTGTTAAGTTTACTTCTGCAGAATGATCTGAATTACTTATATTTGGGACCTTCACATAGAGAAATAAAAATATAATCATAACGGGTAATAAAGTGATATAAAAAAAAACGGGAAGACTTGTCCGTCTACTGAACACGCGAATAATACAAACTCAAATTCTATAAGACATCTTTTTTAGGAGATAAGGAGTGAATTTTATTGAAGAGAGAATGAATTTCGATAACATTGAAATAAATCTATCATTCTTTTTAGATTAAAATTGATCAAAGTGGTTGTTTGTTTATTATCACTCGCATTTGCTGTGTTGGTTAGACAGAGGGGAATTTAAAATTCTTCACCGAACAGGAATCGCTAAAATAATATAGTTGATCGGAATTTGTTTGAGTACCGTCAGTATACCGGAAATAAGAACAAGAAAATAGTACTATCTTAACTCATTTAGCGAATAGTGACACTTCATCAGAATAGAGGAGCCACTAACAGTTCTTTAACGACTTCTAAATAGTCTATCCAGAGGTGCGCGACTACGTCTCCCAGCCTAAACTGTACAAAGTTCATAATCTAGAGAACACTTCAGTTTGAGAAATTTTATTAATGACACGCAAATGACAACGTTGCTGAATTAAGTAGTGTCGAGATATCGGACCCGCCTTTTTATGAAGACATGCGATTTAATCGCTGATCTGTTATTTCACAACAATTGATTTTCGTCTACTTGCCTTGGGTAAAACCACTGAGATTATGTAATATTATTAAGTTGATCCTCGTATTGATCGAAGACAGTAGTCGAGAATTCATTAAAAAGCATTTTCTCTCATTCATCCTTGTTTACTGTAATAATGCATGCTGCTATGTCCTACTAACTGATTGATATTGGTGGTTTGGTACCATTCATGTGAACCACTAGTGCTTACTAGCAAAGCCAAATTAACCTAAATAGCGCACAACAGTTTCGCTCGTTTTGAACTGACCTCGCCAGCAGTGTATCAGCTTTGATTCAGGCCATAGAATGGCATCAGTTGAAACGACTAGAATTCTGGTCAGCTACTTAGGAGAGCTAGTGATACGCAGTTTGCACAGTTCGAAGTGAAATTTCACTCTAATATTCCCCTATTATGTTCATGAAAACTTAAACTGACACATGTGGGTGGAAATTTGTAGGTTTAATCATCATCTTCATACATTTAAAATGAATAGTCTCCCTAGCGTTATTAACTGAAGTTTGAGTGAAAGATATGGTGTATTTTGCGCAACACATTTCTACCAATGTGATCAAGTATCCCATTATTAATTCAATTAGCTTGGAAATTATGAAATGGGAAGTTGATTTAAATAAAGAAAATAATGAAGTTGCTGGTATGCTCTAGTGACTGGTATTAGTTGGTAGCCGCCTGCGTCAAACAGTAGTATAATTTGCAGATGACGAATTTAAAATTAAAATGTCATTTAGTAATAGGGAGGATAAGAATTGACATCATTCTTCGGAATCCAATTACATAAGCACTACGAATGTACGTTTAGTTTAACATTTGATTATTTCGGCGGTTGATACTAGTGGCTACTTCTATGAACTGTGATCCTCTTGGTATATATCAGCAAACATCACTCACGGCTTCCGTATAAAAAAACCATGAATGCCGTCTTATAACATTAGTCTTAGGGATCGTATAAACAGTATGCTTTAATATGGACGCAGCTGCTAATCTACTCAGTACCTTCGCTAATCTACCTTTCGAATTTCGACTGCTTCCTAAGTCATCAGGGTACACATCTCCCACCTTCACTTCGCAAAGTGCGTTAACTCCTCCCTTAGGAAGCGTATCTATACACATATATAAATAGACGAGACTCACTTTGGTGATACTTTTATGGCTATTGATGACCAAGAGCAGTGTTTCATCTCATACCATTTACTCTTAATTCTTTTATCAGTTTTCTAATTTGAATTAACCTCCTATTTCCTCATTTCTGTATGATTGAATTGATCAGCAGACATCTGATATGATCGTTTGAAATGCTTTAGACATATGTATTTTTCAGATAGATTTCATAATTCGATGAAGCTGAGTTTACAGATATAACTGAGTATGCCTACTCCACTATATGCCTTGGGTTTAGTCAATGTTTAGTTTAAATATTATCTTGGTATTTATGTTTATTTATAGTTGACTAAATTATATAGAGTAACCTGTAGGTAATTTAGTACTCTGTTAGCAGTATGTGAGAGTAACTCAGCCTATTTAAAATACACACTAGCATCAGTTTACTGTAAGTATAATTGATCTAAAGAACTGTTACTTTTGAGAACTAAAAGAAAATGTTCCTGTATATATCTAAATAACAAAAACGCCAACAAAGATGTTTTTAATTATGAAGAGTAAAGAAAAGTTTTCATCGTTACAAATGAATTCCGGAAACATTTATGCCATGATGTGAATCGAATAACAGACATTCATAGGTGATTCATTGACAGCGAGGTTGATCAGTTTTCTGTTGATTTTCCAATCATGTGAAAATCATCAGTTGGCGATATAGGAAAACTGAGGCTATGATGCTTGAACTCATCAGGTAGCGGTCTGCACTTGTCATTGCACCTAAATAAAGGTAGCATTAAAACAAAGAAGTGTTAATACAAACAAGGATCTCTGCAAAAATTATGCATATTTCATCTAGACAGCTTAATTATTAAGATTTCTGAAAATAATAGTCAATAGGATATGCTGAAACATGCTTGAAGATGCTTGACTTCGTAGGTAATATCACTTGGATACGTAATAGACATACTAATGATTTTTCAAGTATTGGTTTTGTAGGGATTTTGTTAGTAACTGATGTCAGCTCATGATTAAATCCTCCATGCAATCAAACAAAATCCCTACAAAACCAATACTTGAAAAATTAATCTGATGCTCACTAGTGACTGGCCCTATTCAGGCAGTTAACCTGGGGTTCTAGTGGGAAGCCGTGACCAGTAGGGTACAGCAGGTTGAAGATGAGGCAGTAACTCATCGAAGAAGACATTGCGAAGTGGTCGCGCTATGTCGTGAATTGGCAGAAGTTAGAATTCAAGGACCATTGGATCGGGTCCCAGTGGCTCAATGGTCTACGAGCTCGCCTTGTAACCAGAAGGTCCTGGGTTCGAATCCCGGTGGGTGCGTACTGCTGAGGAGTCCCAAACTAGGACGAAACAGCTGTCCAGTACTCCCAGGTTTTCCAGTGGTTCTCTAACTGATGTCAGCTCATGATTAAATCCTACATACTGATGAATTTATTTTTCAAATTATTCGTTTAAGTGACAGTTAAAATAACTGCGAATTTTAATCATTTCCAAGGGAATTATTATTGAGTTGTGATGATGAAGCGTCAATGCATTTACTTCAGGTTTTATTTTGAAACGTAAAAAAGATTAGAAGGGAAGAATTACTTTATGCTCTGGTTCACTATTCCATGGGCTTAGTGACTTTACAGGGGAGCTTTACTTTCTCCCATGCAGTAGTTTCACTAAACTTTACAAAGACACTGATGTCATTGATATCTTCAAAAGTGGATCAGCCCGTTACTATTCAAAGCTCATCATTCTAGTTTAGATCGAAAGCTTTTCGTTCATGATTTAAACAGTTAGATATCAAGCCTAGAAGCAAATCGAAGTCGACGGACGGTAAAAGATATGTTGCCGAACCATTCAAATATACGGCGTTATGAGTGAGCTAGTATTCGGCCACATTTACTATAGTGTATTTGAATAGCCTAGTAACATGCCTTACACAGTCAGCATCTAAATATGTGCTACCCGAAACTTTGCAAAGAAAGTACCTGTCTTGTAGAAATTTTGAATACTGAATGTTTCAGAAATGATTGATACCTGATGACTAGTCATTTAAGCTTCAAGGAGAAAATTTCAAAGACTACTGATAGAAGTTAAGCTCAATCAATGAAATCGTTTCTTAAGCTCAATTTAAGCAGGAATTTCTATGTTCTCTAGGTAGCTGAGTATAACAATATACAATTACGTTGAGATAAACACTTACGTATATGTTGTTTATCAGATTATTCAACTTTGGACTACTTGTATACCATGACTGTTTTCAAGTCTTTTAATTCTGTTCTTTACATTTAGTTACAGATAGGGCTGATCTTTTGAGAAATACAAAATGTTCACTTGACGATAGGTCAATAAACTGCCAAGAATTGATTAAATCAGTGAATTAATCAGCCGAGAAAGTAAACGATGCAACACCAGAAAGGCGTCAAACTTTTTATTTTAAACACTATTCTAAAAACAAGATAGGAGTGAAAGCCGAAGATCACATGATCACAATCAAGTCGATTTTCTTCAAAGTACCAGAAACAACCAATTTAGCAAAAGACAGCCTGTAGTTGAAAGAACTATCATATGCCTTACAACAAACAAACGATAATAATATGATGACAAATAATAAAAACAAACCTATCCAAATTAATCAGAAAGATCAATCAATGCTAAGAAATGAAAATTACTGACCAAAATAAATAATTCAACCCTCCACTGAAGGCATTTTCAAGAACTTATAAGCTAAGTAAGGGAGGTCAAGTGACCTGAAAATAGGCAGCATCAAGTCACGCATGCGGTTGATAGAATGGATTTGTGTAAATAAGAAGACAAAATCATTCAACTGTTTAACAATTTTCAAACCGCACTAAGAAAGGAAGACAATCAGAATGTAACAGATGGCTCTGCATCTGAAGGACACCATCTCAGAAAACACTTCAGCTAAAACAGACGAAGATAACACTGCACAATCGTCTAGCGTCAACTTATATGGATGCACGTTTTTATGTTACAAATAAAGTACCTAAAGGAAGAAAGTTCATTTTGACAATATAAGTAGTATGATGACTTATATACAGATTTTTTTGACGACTAACCACAGTCACTCTCCAGATTTATAAGTCAGTAGTAGTCACCCTATTGTATTTGTCCTATTTCAAAAGCATTATCGTGGATAAAGAATGTTTCCGAGAAAGGTAGCTGTCTTAATTCTTAAAGCATGAGATTTTGGAAAATCAAAAGAAATATGTACATACCTTCATTTTTGCGATGTTCTGTAGAAGGAAAAATAATAATAATAGCTTTATTCCAAAAACAGTACTAATGATACAGCAAGGAATTTTCAGCATTCAGTACAATATTGCATCTAATTTACTCAAAAACGACAAGAATATTATAAATACACATTACACAATAATAATAAAACGATTGTTACAGCAGCTACATAGCAAAATACTGTGTGCAATACGGTGAAAAATATGCATAAAGTACAAAATTGTAGTAATTATAGTAATACCAACTAAAATAAAATAGCAGAGTAATAATTAAACGACAGAAAGTGTGACACCATAAAATACAGAAAGATGAACTATGAAAGGGTCGATTTACTGTGCTAATTACATAGTAACTTATGTGTTTTACGTCTAACAGAGTCTTCATCACATAAAGTACGGGCTAAATAGGGTATTGTAGAACTTCTGTACTTAGTGGTACGAGCATATAACTTTTTATATTGACTTCTCGTCCTACCTGATGAGATACAAGGGGTTGGATGTATATAAAGGGGGTGCAGAGGATCAGGCAGTATAGCCTTTGCCCATTTTGTACAGGAATTTATATGCCTCTCGACTATAGTTTTGGCGAGCTCATTCAGTCAGTCTGTCTGTCTGTTTTCGACATAGAACTTTGCACAAATGTGCGGAAGTTCAAGTCGCCACATTCCGTGTAGCACGCGAAGCAAGAGAAAGTACAAGAAAAGCATAATAGAAACAGTGAGCAGAGGTGTGAGACAAAGGAGTAATAAAGAAAAACAAAACAGTTTCATTGGAAGTCATAAGTCACAAGGAGTGGATGCATCTGCGCCACTGAGAACGATTTTGAGCCATGTCACCAATTGTTTCCAACCATAGATTTTTAACGTCCCGAGGACCCCAGCCTGGAAGTCTACACCTTCCTACGTGGCTTAGACCAACTGTTGTGGATTTCATTGACTGGTGCCAAGTTTTTGTTTGACCGCCGCTAGCTTTTTTCCAGCCTGACCCTATATCCGCTAACATTGCTCGTCGAGGGAGGCGGTGGCTTGGCATACGTAACACATGTCCTAACCATCTCAGTCTTTGTAGCTTCACGACTTCGTCGATTGATTTCCCCTGTTTACCTAGAACTCTACGCCTAACCTCCGTGTTGCTCATCTTATTATGCCACTTTACACGGGAAATAGAACGCAGGCACCTATGATCAAAGACAGCTAGTCTTTTCATGTCTTCCACTCTCAGTGGCCAGGTCTCACAACCATAAAGGAGGACGGAGCGGACTGATGAGCAGTACACCCGCCCTTTGGTCGATAGTCGAACATCTCGTCTACGCCAGAGTCGGCGTAAACTAACAAATGCGAAACGAGCCCGTTGTATTCGTGCTGAGATTTCGTCAGAGATCAGCCCGTTGGGGCTGATGGTACTTCCCAAATAAGTGAAGCGGTCAACGTGCTCTACCACTTCACTTCCTATTTCCAATGTAGGAGTCGGTGTAGTCCAGTCCTGTAACATCATCTTGCATTTGGCGGGAGCGAATCGCATGCCAAACATTCGTAGATTGCGGCTCAAGGTGTTTAGAAGACTCTGCATTTTGTCAGCGTCTTCGCCTAGAAGGACTATATCGTCTGCATATTCCAAGTCAACGAGATTATTCCCAGGTAGCAAGTCAATCCCTGAATCGCTGAAGTGAGTTAGGGTTAAGGCCATTAACACATCTATGATGACGTTGAATAGAAAAGGAGATAATGGGCATCCTTGACGGACACCACTGGTCGTCATCAGTTCAGATGACAGCTCGCCGTAAGCCCTCACCTGGCTGTATGAGTACGAGTAGAGTGCCTTAATCAGTGCAATATATTTTCTTGGAATTCCCTTTACAGCCAAGCATCTCCAGAGAACTTCCCGCTCATTCAGTGGCAGACCACAAGCTCTACTCACAGCATTTAATACTCTTCGTAATATGATATAATCTTTTTTGAGAAGCCTATGAAAGATTAATGGAGAGCAATAGAGTACAATAGGTAAAATACAGGAGTTTAGAAATTACAAAACTAAAGGTTGGTTGATACCTGATTGTCTTAACTTTTTAATATAGAAGGTAAGACGAAAGGTTTTCTTAGAGATAGATAAGATGTGAGATGACCATGAAACGTCAGAGGAAAGAACTAATCCAAGGTATTTAATGCTTGACTTAGTTTCAATTTCTGTGCCATCTATGCTACAGGCTTCATGCGAACTAACTAGTTCATGTAAGTCACGTCGATGCTTGAAAGTAAAGTCAACTGCCTGACATTTGGAAGGATTTAATATAAAACCATTTGACTTGGACCAGTTGTTGATGTCCAACAGAAAGCTATTAAGTTTGTAGCTGTTAGACTCGGCAGTTATACAGTCAGATCATCTGCATATTGGACAAAATTACTTTCATATGAATGAGGCAGGTCATGTAAGAAGAAAGAAAAAAGAAAAGGGGAGAGGAAGGCACCTTGAGGAACACTGGACACTAAATCGAAAATTCATCGTGTATTCTAGTCAAACAAAAAAATGTTTCAAGTATTTATGCAGTCACCTTAGTTAGTATTAAGAGCACAGTAATCCTCTGAATTATTCGTGTACAATATTTATTCCCTTAGTGTTAAATCGGAAGACTTTAATCTAAAACTGCTTCTGCATATTAGAAATAAGTTCTTTATGTTAATTCAGAAGAGTTTTGTAAGAGTAGAATTTTGGTACTATTGGTAGAGGGTGGTCTTACGTTAGGTAATTTTATTTGATATAACACAACGGGCACAATAGTACTGAATGGATGACGTTTCAAACGAAATTTTCTACTCATAATCACATCACATCGTCTCCTATGTAACTCTACGGATTATTTGCTGTTCACGTCATTACAGAACACGTGTAATCGAAGTAACAAAATAAATCCCAGATTTAGGGAAAATTGTATTAAACAGACCGGAGGCAGATTTATATCAAACAAGTCAGGGAGTTGTGTAAATACCCTGATACGATTATGAGTTGTAAATTATGCTCTGGATCGTATACAGTCAGGAATACTGCATCAAATAAGTCTACCTAATACGAAAATCAGAGAATTGTGTCACTTGAAATGTACACTCAGTGTCGCGAGCTTTCGAACATATCTAACTCGTAATTTCACCCATATTCTTTAGAATGATTTTCAAGCTTCTGTGACAGTACAGTGGGGATCTTAGTAATGAAATTTTAGAACATGGTTCCCAAATTAAATATAATTTTCTTTTTTTTTGATTTACAGCTTGATTCCACACTGTATTTTCGGTACAAGTATGGAATTTTCAGCATGGATATCGGTAGCCCAAATTTTGCAGGCCGACCATAGATATCAGGTGTGCGTCGGTGCGGGCTCGAACACCGGACCATGTGCATGGTCGGCGAGAGTCCTAACCACTGTGCCACCGACGCACAGACCTATAGACCTAGAAAAGTATTTCACTTACTAGACAGAACTGGAGTATTTGATTATGCATATTCTGTTAGTCTGTTGTCAAATTCTCCACCTTTTCTAGAATTTCTTTGATTTCTCTATTGTATTTGATTACAGTGAAGCTAATTTATGCATATTTTTCACGACAATAAGCCAGTCAATCCAGATATACGATAAAATAAAAATCACTATCAGAAGGAGATTTCATAGAACAATCTATTAATTAATACATGGTGGGAATCAGAATGAACATTTCTTTTGAATTGAATTCTTGATTTTCCCGTCGATTGATTGGACCGAAGTGCTCGGTCTCAGGTTGACATGTCGGCTTCTTGTGCAGATGCTTCGACGATGTTCGGGCATTTAGTTAGTATACAATTGGTGGATGGTGGCTAGCAGTGGAATCCAGGATGCGCATTTCGTCCTATTTGGGACTCGTCAGCTGGATGTACCTGCATTTCTCAGTGAGTGATGATGTTCCCACCGAGGCTCGAACCCAGTACCCATAGTTTCAAACGCCAGAGCGTTATCCACTAGACCACTTGGGCCACGAGAGCCACCTCTTGTGCAACGGGTCATATTAATTATTGAATTGAATTCTTGATTTTCCCGTCGATTGATTGGACCGAAGTGCTCGGTGTCAGGTTGACATTTCTTTTGATTATAGAATACTGTTAATTGCAGCAACTCATAATCGAAGTAAAACCGTACATCCCACTATAACTTGAACATATCCTGCTTATTGAGTTCAAATCGCATAAGTGCTGTATCTTATTTTTTAATATACTAATATAAAAATACATAAGTGAGCATAATTAAATCCTACATGTTTTATTCTTCATTTCTAACTTACTACTATGCTTGCTATGTGCTATAAATATGGGTTTAAACAAATTTCAATTACAAATTTACTAATAAACATGATGTTTACAAGGCACTCATTGCAAAAAGCTTTAAACGAATCATTTAGTATCAGAGAGATACATTTTTGTTGCATGGCAATGGGAGAAACCACTTAGAAAAAAGCCATGCTTGGCTCAGTTTAAAGCCTTCAGGAGACTAAGATTTCGTTTATGATTCGAAACTAAGTATCTCAGTGAAAATACTAGTGGTTTTATAAGTGAAATGGATTTCGACGTATGTAGCTAGTTTTCCATCTGCTTTTTAGTAGAAATTTAATTGTTAAACAATACCTATCACTCGATCGGTCAACTATTATGATCACTCCATGCTAATTACTGATTCATGAACATCAGGCAATTATTCACTGAATCAGTCATGTCTTGAACAGATTATCTGAAAAGTTACTGGCTTGAATACTGGCTGGCGAATGCTTAAATCTGATGGGAGACATTAGTAATTTCAGTGTAGTGGGCACACCTTGCTATCATTTATAAAACATAGGTGCAAGCCTTCCTGTTGTCTAACTACTTTCAGCTACTAGTGATATATAGCGGTGAACACAAGTTTCGTATTATTCACATTATTTTCCAAACCATCAATCTAATCAACACATTTGGATGTAGGCACATAGGACTTGAAAGTTACAATGATTACTATGTGATGACAGATTCGTGTACATTTTTTCTTGACTTATAATTATTTTAGGCTAATCCGCTTCACTCATCGATATCAGTTAACTGAGTTGCTGTAACACAAGAAGTAGCTGGCCTTTTGTGAATGCCTTGATATGACTATGACCGATAAATATCCCTGCAGCTTTATCTAATCAACAAAATTTCATCAAATAAGTTTAACTTATATAAAAATAGGCGATTTGAGTCATGTGAGATATACTAAATTTCGAAAACTTTCGAACATATCTAACTCATAATTCCACCATAATCTTTAGAATTCCTGTCGAGTTTTTGTGCTAATACAATGTGGCTCCTAGTTATGGAGTTCTAAAATATGTGTTTGAACTAAATATAATGAAAGTTCTGTAGGCGTTGCTGCATGCAACTGCAGTGGCTGACTGTGTAGATTCTGTCAGTCTATTATCAAATTCCTTACTTTACCTTTTCTAGAATTTCCTTTATTTCCCTATTGTAAATAATTGTAACGTGGCGCTTTTACTTATATATTTCCACGATAATAAACCCACTGATTCAAAAATAAGACACAATAAAAGTCACTGAACAATCTGTCGAAAATGTCAGTGAATATTTTTTCTGATGAACAGGCATTAATAGCACGAGTCAGAATGAAATTTTCTTTATGTTGAAGTATCGTTAACTACACTTGCGCATAGTCAAAGTGAAACCTTATTTCTCCGTTATGATTTGAGCCTATCTTGTTGAATAAATTCCAATCACATATATGCTCCGTTTTAATTTTTTAATAAGTTAATATGAAAATAGAAAAACAATTTATCGTAGTAAAATTCTACACACGTTTTCTTCAATTTCGACTTACAATCTTTCGTGTTCGTACTGTATGCTATAAATATAGATTTAACCAAATATCAGTTACAGATTTACTAATAAGTACTATATTTGCAAGGCATTTGTTATAAAAAGCGTAAAACGAAGCATTCAATTAAATAGGGATACATTTTTAGTTACAGAGTGATAGAAGTCAGCCTTGTTTGCTCTAGATCAGAAGCCTTCAGCAGACTAAGATTTCATTCATGATTCAAAACAGCGTATCACAATTTCCATGTTAGTAATTTTATCACTAAAATGGATGCAGGTGGTTAGTCCTCTACTTCTTAATCGAAATTTGATGATTAAACACTATATCTCACCCTATTCAAGCGGCTATCCATGATCATCACCCTACGCTAGTTACTGATTCATGAACATCAGCCAATCCTGCAGTAGATTAGTCATGACTTGAACAGATTATCTGAAAAGTCACCAACTTCGATACTGGGTAACGTATGTTTAAATTGGAAGGGAAAAGGAGTCATTTCAATATTGTGGGTGCAACTAGTTACCTTCATTCACAACACAGGTGCAAGCCTTCATGCTGGCTAGTTACTTCCAATTGCTAATGATTTGCAGAAGTTAAGTCAAGTCTCGTGTTATCTACCTTATTTTCTAAACTGTTAGTCTGAACAGCAGATTTTGATATAACTACATAGGATTGGAAAGTTACATTGATTATCATGTGGTGACAGATTCCTGTACATTTTTATTAACTTATAATCAATTTAGGTCGATCTGCGTCACCATCGACACCAGTTAAAGGGATCACTGTAACACAATAATTAGACTTTTGCTATTATATTCTGAAGAACTTATCACTATCCAATGAACAGATGAATGACAGTAAGCCAGATATCAGTCGATTTCTTATGAACTGTGGAAGTGAACAGCTAAATGTGAATAGATCTACGTTACTTTTTAATTTACTTCTACGAATTTTACCACCAGTATTTTGTGGTTTCATTCGAAGGAAAACACCTCTAAATTGTGTATATTAGTTTTGGAAAATGCAACAATAACACTAAATTTTCTGAATGCAAAGTCAACAATAAACATTTCATTTCATAAGTAAAATGACGTTTTGATATGTTTCAAATGACCAAATATAAACTAATGACATGTAGGTGGGAACTTAGGGCTAGTTATTAAAATTTCCTCAATTTCCCAACTAACAGAATTTATTTTTAGCCCAAAGAGTGAAGTACTCTTCAGACATTAGTTGAATCACAAATATACGAATTCATGAAGTGGTAAATGCTCTAAACCTACAGGTGACATAATTTCTTTGTGTACCCGCATCTGAATAATCAAAACAAATGTGGTAATAATAACAATAGTAATACAAATGCAATATAAGGGTCATACTTGTGTACAGCGCTACTTATCATCATCGTGAAGTGTCAAGAATGGAAGTTGACTCTTTACTACAGCTTTATCAACCCTGAAAAGACATCTGACAGCGTCGACCGTGAAGGAATTTAGCAGCTGATTCAGCACTACGGATTGAGTGCAACAAACGTTTATAAACCTCATTCGACAGCTATATTATGACGTCACATGCTGTATAATCCACAACGGAAAGCTGACCGAAAACAATTCCAGCAACGTGCTGTAGATTTACGTCAACAGTTACCTTCTCCCGATACTGAAGATCAGAGGCTTCGCTAGAATGTATAAGCAACCAGGAATTCCGGCAGCAAAGCGACAGATGTCCTGTAGTACAACGAATACACAGACAGAAATGGGTATGGATTGTACATTTTCTGAGAAAGCCGAGTGAAATCTTACTTCAGACCATCAATTGGAACTATATTTCGAAGTGGGGGGATGGAAGTCTGAGGAAGACATGAATGAGATCATATGAAGAGGGAATGAAAGCTTGTAGGTAGTCCATGCATCCAGTTGAAACTGATGGTTAGGAATTGAATGGTATAGAGATGTGTAGCTTAAGCTGTGTGCCCCACTAGGAACCCAAGGGACGAATAATAATATAATTACTTGTGTATAAAGATCGAAATGCGGTTTCATGCTGGCGTATTTACAATGTGTGACACGTGGCACTATGGAGTTAATTTTATCCGACAAAGTATTTCAAATGTAGTTTGCTACCATTATTCATATTTAAGTAATTGCACACCTTTCGCAGTAAGGTTTAACTGCTTTAGACCTCTTTGTTATTTCACCTTTCATTGTAGCATGATGTACTAGAAGTCAGGAACAGGTATCGAATAGATAAAGTTTAAAAGTAGATCTTTCAAGAAACAATATCAGTCAGGAGACTGTTAAAGAACAAGGAGCACTGAACCACTTATTTGAATAAACTATTACGTTTATGGATAACGTTATGCATTATATGCAATTTATTGAAATGAGAAAGCACTAACACTTCTTCTTCGTCTTCAAATAATGGCCATAAATAACCCAAGTATAAGCTTTAAATCATTGCAAAAATAAATTTAGTTCTCTTCATCATGAGCCAATGGGAAATTGATGAAGTATTATGGTGCTAAATGACAAATTTTAACTGCACGTTTACCGAATTCTCTTAACATTCAGATTGAGCAACTTATTTGAAATGTAAAAGCACAGTCTGGTTATTGTGGCAGGATGTGATTTCATTTTTAATATATTTACTGAATATATCTATAATGACTGGTCTTTAATTAATGAATAACGTTTGCAGAATACAGCCCTTAGTACCTGGTTTCTATAAATCAACTACTCCTTGTTCTTTGATTTCATAAGGAACCCAGTTCACTAAATTTCTGGAATCGATGTTATGTTATTCTTTGTCACACAATGATTTCATGACCAAATACCACAAATAAGTAGGTCTTTACTGTTGTTGGTTTATCCTTCAAAACAAGTGCTAAGACATCGATAACAGACACCAGGATTTTTACATTACTTGTCCTACACACCTTATCATTCTAAATTTGATTGACTTTCTACCTTTTGTCAATGTGGTAGAAATCTTCCTTCAAAAATTTACATCATTAAGAATTTTCCATTTTACTGATAAATGACAAATTTCAAAATGGTAAAAGTATTGTCGAAAATGGTTATTATAAAAATGTTTATATTACAAGTGTTAAATGTACTAACCTTTAGAACCTTTTGAAATCAGAAGTGAGAGGCATTACGACAGTGACAACAGACGACGGATATTACTCATATCTCCTTCATGTAGCCGAAGCTTTAGCAATTCCTAAAGGAAAACCTGAACTCTGTGTTCAGAAAAGTTTTATTCAGCTTCTTTACGACCGTAGCCTTAGTGCCGGATTTATTTTCCCGATAAATTCAATGTGGTCCTTTTATTTCTGCAGCCAACTTTCAATCCTTTGTTTTTTTATATCTCAGTGATAACTTTTAAATGATTATTTATCACTTAACTAATTAGGTGTCAATCCCATCGACTACGTAAGACCACTGACAGTTATTCACACAACGTTATTTCTCACATACTTTGAGTTATGTTGGTTACGAAGTGAAAATAGCTTCTGATCTTTGTTGTCAATTATGTATATAAACCCTGTGTAGCCTTGAAATTAAGTTACGAAAATTCATATGTTTGCTTACTTATGTGCTCTGATTGTTTGAATTGCCTATCTAATGCACCCTAACATTCTAAATCTAGCTAAATTTCTGCACTCTGCGAACATAACTGAAATTTCTTTTCAGAACTTTACATAGCTAAACATTTCAGTGTCATTGATAAATAGCAAATTTCTGAATGCTAAAATAATTACCAAAAGTAGTAATAATAAAAATATTTATATATAACAAGTGTTAAATGTATTAAATATTTTCTTTGCCTGTTAAGATAAAAAGTGGGAGATATTATGACATCGCTGTAAGCTCTCGGGATTTTTAGATTACTTATTTTATGCGTTCTAAATTCAGTTAAATTTCTATTATTTATCAACACGGTTGAGATTTCCCTTCAAAACTTTACATCACTAAAAATTGTAATATCACTGATAAATTGCAAATTTCTAAATGCTAAAAACATCACCGAAAATCGTTATGGTAAAAACGTTTCTAATACGGTTGTTAAACATACTCTTTTTGCTTTTGCTGCTTGCTGAAATGAAAAGCCGGAGGAATTTATTAATTTGTGTATGGCTAAGAGATTTTACGAGAAAGGCAACATATAGTATTATTAAAATTATTATTGCGATACGTTTAATATTTTGAGTTAGTTGATAAAGTGTTTTCTAATCCGTTTATTAGTTTGTCCTTATATTGGTATGAATTAACTCAAATTTGTACAAAAATCAGGAAGCCATTATCCATGATGTGCGGTTGTAGTTGGTCTTGAGATTCATTTATGTATTTATCAATACACTTAATTCTAAGAAGCACAAACAGCCAGAAAATGTAAAAATTTAGAATTAACTATATTGAATAACTTTTCAGATCCGAAGAAATTCTGCATGTTCGTTTTATAACATTTACATGACATTTGTTGTCTGTAGACAGCACTTCCTAACATGAGCCTTATATTTTTAAGATACATTGACAACATATTTCTGTAATTTAAGGAAGAACGTTATTTTTTGGTAGATTTAAACTTTAATCTGAGTTGTTCTATGTTCTGAAGTCCTAGCTGCAAACGTTCCATTGTCATGGTAGATATCGTCAATAGAAAGTTATGGATTTATCTGTCGACGATTACATCTGATATGACAGAGTCTCCATTATCTAAAATTTTAAACTCTTATACATTAGCCTTCTCATCTATATCACCAAAAGGTGATTACTATAAGGATACTGTATTGGGTAACCAATCAGTAAAACGTTTGTCGAAACTTTACTTAAAAAGATACTCAACTCACTGGAAAATTCAAGTAAGGTAATGAGTACTAAGAAAATGACGATACATAGAAAAAATCTGGTAAACATTGTAAATTGCTGTCACAGTTCAAGTTGAATCACTTATTCCTAGGTATTTATAGGCAACGAGAGGCTGGTGTCACCTTGAAAAAATTTGTAATTATTTTCTAATTATTTAAAGAAACAAACAAGATTCTGTGACTACTTTATTTTCAAGAAAATTATTGACACAAAATAGACGATTAAGTTTTTCATTGTATCGCTTTTAACAAACAAACAAATGAACAAACAAACATAAATGATATAAATAAAGATACTGTCTTTTCATTTGTTGTATTATCACAGTTTTCAAATCCGATTCTTGATTTCTCTTGTTTATTCTGTAAATTGTCACCAGGAGTTAAAAAACAAGACAGTGCAAAACGTATGTGAACTGTTTGAAAGCAGGTTATTACCTGTAAAAATGTGTACAGCAAATCTTGTTTTAGGTAATAGCTCACTAGTAGCGGACAAGAATATTGTTCCAATAAAACATTAAATAAATAATAAGCTTGGCATTAAGTTAGACGTTTTTTCTTCGTCTCCAGTTTTTAATTTTAACAGAAATTTAAATGTATATATCTAGGATAGTGGATGGTAATGATACCAGTCTGAAGTCTTTAAGTCTAACTCGAATCTCTTAGTTCATTATACGGTATGACTATTACATCACACATGGATAAATGTAGAACTCTGTACAGAAATGAAACAGTGGTCATCACCATCTCAATAAACCTCTGTAATCAAACTCCCTGGTCATTCTGCTTTGTCTCGTTTTAGAAGACACACTGAAGCAAATCTGTACAATGCACTGACGGTTTTATTTTTATGCGTTAATTTTGAAGTTAGTCGAAATGAAACCTTTAATCTGCATTTCATTCTTGGTAGATAGGTGCATTTAATACCTATTCAGAATGCCTGATAAATCTGCCTTTTATTAACTGTAATGTAAATCCTCCTGTTTTAAGAGTTTTCTTTCAGTTCATAAGTCAGATTGGTGTTGGTCGAATATGAAGCACGTTGATTTAAAACACTGAACGTTAGTATTGCATGTTAGCCCTGTTGTTATAAGTGATTTTGACATCATTCTAAGAGCTTCCAGGGGTGGTTTATTGGAATAATATACGCCTCACATAACGTCTCACTAACACTGTGCATATCATATTGTGTCGATTAGTTTCAGGAATATGCATGCAATTCACAGAAACATGGTGTTTATTAGCTTACTGTTCTTGATAGCTGCAAGCAAATTTACTAAACATATACATAACGTCTTGTGAAATTAACAGTAATTAATCATTCGCTTGAGTTCCAAGTGGAACATAGGGCTTCAACAACACATCTACACTTTGTTCCGTTTTCTGCTGTCCTCTTCAGCGGGGTCCACGATTGACCAAAATCTATCATCTCTTCCTGACACGATCTCCTGTCACCCTAGGACGACCGACTTATCGCTTCCCATTTGGATTCCACTTGAGCGATGGCCTGGCGTGCTATGTCATTCGGTGGCCTCCTCAATGTATGCCCAATCCATCTCCACTTTCTCCTACAATATTTGCTGAGCGATAGGCTCTCGCCTTTGGTTTGTTTCCATAGTTTCTTTTTAATTATTCTTTCTCTCAGCCATTTGCTCTTCAGCATGGAGCCACCAAAGACAGGTGTCGATGAAAGTCTGCAACCTGTTGGAAATCCTTTTACTGACACACAGTGCAAGTTTCTGACCCGTCTAGAAGAACCGACTTCACATTGGTGTTGAAAATGAGAATCTTGTTCCTTATGCTGAGTGCAGAAGATTTCCAAACTGGCTTCAGATTGGTGAAGGCGTATCTTGCCTTTCCTATTTTGACTTTGACATCCTAGTCCGTCCCGCCTGTAGTTGAAACGATGCTTCCTGGCCAGATAAGTGAAGGAGGGAACCTCTGTTAAATCTCTCCCATTGATGGTGATTAGTACTGGCTGCTTTTGTTTCTGTTCGTTGGTTATCTTCATCAACTTCGTCTTCTTTGCGTTTACCTGCAGTCCTATTTTCGCCGCCAAAATCTCAGCCAGTTTGTTAGTTTTCGCTTGCAAGTCTTCAAGTTTGTGTGACATTAGACAAATAGCATCTGGGAAATATAGATCTTCCAGAGTCTTCTTATCTGTCGCTCAGCATATTCTTGTCTCCTCGACCCCAACAGTTTGACGCATAATCCAATCCATGACAATTTAGAATATCATCGATGATAACAGCAGCCTTGTGTTAATTCTGTATGCATTTCGAACGTCTCGATGAGTTTTCCGTTGTGGACTACCTGACACATGGCATTGTCATATAGCCACCAGCTGTTGAATAAGGTTGATATAGACTTGGGAACTGCATGCCGTAGTGCTGAATTAGTTTCCAGATTACTTCTTGGTCTATGCTGCCGAAGGCCTTCTCAAAGTCGATGAAGTTGAGGTACAGGTTTGACTGCCATACTATGCTTTCTTCGATGATAATGAGTATAGTTACTATCGATCAGAACATGATTTGTCTGCCTTTCCTGGATCCAGCTTGTTCCGTGCTGGCTGAGTTCTGTATCCAGTGCATCCTTTATCCTCTCCAGCATGATGCAACTTAGTATTTTATTTGGCCTGGACAAGAGCATGGTACCACACCAGTTCTTGCACAGGCCTAAGTCGCTCTTTCTTGACAGTTTGACAAAGTAGCCCATCTTCCAATCAGTAGGCGCCTTTTCTTCTTTCCAAAACTTTTGTAGCAATGGAGTGAGAACATCTGCCGTAATCTCTGAAGCCGTCTACAGTGCTTTGGGAGGAATACCATGTGGTCCTGCTGCCTTCCAGGCAGGACTTCAGTAGCCTGATCGCACTCAGGATTTCTTCTTTCATTAGAGGAGTGGTGTCCACCGGCATTTCCGCGCGTGCTGTAGGTGCTATTTCTGGGTAAGTTGCAGGTGATGGTGGATTCAAGAATCTCTTGAAGTGATATATATATATATATATATATATAAGCAGTTAATTAATTGAAATGAACTAGGTGTTTGACTCTTTGGTTCATGAAGTAAGGAGTGCGGAAAGTTGAGAAAGCATAAAGATGCAATGATATTTCCAAAGAGTTTACGTAAAGGTTAGTTCTCAAATACTGCCCAGAAGTTCAGGTCTAAAAAGACTGTCAGCTTTTGGGAACGCTTCCCAAATTTTGATTTCTGAAGTCTGGTCGACATGACCATAAGGTCTGGGAAGATGAAATTTATCGTCATTTTCCCTTTCAATTTTGAACTTTAGATTAATGTATCATGTTTATGCAGTAAGTGAGCTCAAAACAGCTGCACGCTTAAATCGTTTTTCAACATAATGTTTTGACTAACTGCATAGTTCGTATTTGCCTATTGTGATTTGTTTATTAGGATATCCTGGCCAGTTCAAGAATATCCACTGATTACTTTATTCATATATGGACTGGAATTTAACTTTTTATGTATTCAGCAGTAAAAGCCATAGAATAATGTTTTTGTATTGTTACCTAATAACTACTGATTCGTTTGGTTGATGCTTTCGCCAACAGATCAAACCCAACCACAGATTTCTGAGATGAATTCAGTAACTGAAAATTATGCTTTAGATTGTGAACAGTAAATATTGTGCAGAGAGACTGAAAATGTGCTTCTTTATACGCAGTAGCAAACTTGGTAAAGAATTATGATCAGTTACGTATAATTATGTTGTTGTGTGTTGATAATTCTAGTTATCATGATCAGGTGCGAAAGAGAGTATTTACAATGCAAACAGAAGGCGTAGCTCCTTCAATATCAGTCCAAGTATCACTTTAATTTGTACTTTACTTGCATGTTATGCCTCTGGTTGTTTATTTTACATCTATTTAATAGGATAAATAAGGGTACTGATTAGTGATAATTCAAATTTACACCGAAAATATGTCATTTTTTCTGAATCGGATGTTCAGCTTGGCTGCTTCCCGTGAAATCCTGCATTTTTAAATTAAATTTGAGAATATATACCCTAACAGTAAAAAATAATTGTGATTTATTTGACTGATATCTTAACATGAGTGAAAACCTACGCTTAGTCAGTCCTTCATAGGAGATTTGACTGAATATTTTCGTAAGGTTTTAATGAGCTCTGAGTGAAGTTACTGAATGGAAGCATTGAGCTCAAACACGCATTTCAGTTGTTTATCAGAAACTTTTGGAAACACATCGTCATTTCTGCTCACACCCCTAATTATTTTTAGATATGTTTCGTTTGACACTAGTGTTTCCAGTTTATCCAAATTGGCAATATTGGTATATCTGCTAATATTTTCATTGAAAATTAAGTGATATGCATAAGGTTAAAATAGATTAAATTAGTGCTGTAATAGATTCAGTGAAACTGAAAAGGCTTCAATGGTATCACAATTCAGTCAGTACCAACGGTTACCACCTCAAAAGACTGCACCACCAATTTGACTAATGCTTTTAGCTGCGTTGACCTTGCACTGGGAACTGAAGGATGTTTTCGAGCAGTTAATGAAATTCTTTTACCGTGTGGATTCATAGAGCTCAGTATCAAAGACGAAAACTAGGAAGGAAGAAAATAAAAACACAACCTGACAGTAAGTAGATCCTATCCTCATTATTAGGCAGGTAAGATAAAACTTCATTAAATTCAAAAAATGTTCTTAAGAGTCAAAGCTGTAACTAGAAAAGTATTTGACTGGTAATATATTTTGTTACTTTAAATAACCACACTGTTTGACCAAGACTTCATCCTATATTTTATAATAACAAAAGACTTTAGAATGCACGCTGAAAATTCCATACCTGCACCACAAATACTGTTTGGAATAAAGCTGTTTATTATTATTATATTATTATTATTAGAAGCTCATTTGTTGAATGTATGAAAAATTGTCACATTATGTAATTAAGAACACATAAGTCAACAAAGCGTTCTCTTCCCACAGCTGAACAGTTTTTTACGGGCTTATATATACAATGTTAATTGACAACAAAGGTTAGTGTTATTGCTAGTTAGTACCAAAATAAGTGTATGAGTAATAAAGACGTTTGAAAAAAATTATGTGCAGTCTAACGGGATCAAGAGAGCTGGCAACTAATTAGACAAGTGATGAATAATCTTTTGGAAATAGTTGTTGAGAAATAAGAGGACAAAGGATTGAAAATGGGTTACGAAAATATTGTCAAAAAAATAATTAATAAAAATGGAAAATAAATAGGAATACAAGGTGTTTATCACACATTCATTGAGGAAATAAATGCTGACACTGAGGCCACGGCAATAAAAGTGTCTGGATAAAACATAGCTAAGGTTTTTACTCATCTGTCGTTAGGTTTCCGGCTACATGAAGAAGTAGCGGTTCATCAATACACATAAATCCCCCAAATAAACTGTACAGCTTTGAAGTGAAATTACGAAAAGAGATTTCTTTTCCAACTTGTATGTTCCTAATTTATTGAATGGATGGCCAAAACTGATGATTAAACAAACAGTTTAATGTTATTCGGAAAGGCAACTGACCATGCCACCTTAAGTGCTGGTTTACAAAGAGCTACATTGTCAAACCAATTTCTTCCTATTTTAATTCGATAAGCGTTATGCTGCAAGTGTCAATCGATCCTTTTAAGGACCATTTAACAAATCCAAAGGAAGTGACCGACCATGATATGAATGTAAGGCTTGGTGATTATGAAAAGTTTGTTAACAAAATGAAGAGTATTAATGAATATCCATTTCAGAGGCATTCCTTGTAACCAAAAACAAGCATGTACGAACAGGTGAAATGCGTGTGAATTTTTCAAGGTTTTCCATGAAGTATCGATACAGACCAAATTAATTCGTTTTGCTATATTAGGTGTGTTAATTCCTTTCCTACCTGTTCATTCTCAATCTTTCCTTTGTTCAACATTATACTACTTGCCATTAGTAAGTAGTATGATTTTTATATTTATAACAATGACATTTGCTTACAACTGCAGTTAAATTACTTGTTCTATAATCATTCTATTAATGTGTAGTTCTTATTTTTCTTCTCCTTAAACATTATTTGCTGCATTTACCCTACAGTGTATGCTTTACTATTGAAAGTTGTTTGTTCATATTTGTTTATTCTTTGCTTGGCATTCGCGGGCCGTTTGAACCGACACGTGGATCGACCTTGACACAGCATTGCTGTTTTTACTTATTGACTGCACAGTGGTTGTGCATTTGACGGCATTTAGCCACAGACACCTCACATTTTGAGGTTTGTATATTATATATCTATTTTTATGTAATAAAGTACCGTATTGCAGAATATCCTGTATTTTGGACTTTACGCGTCACTCTACGTGTGGTTAAATCTATAGTTTGGATTATTGTTTCGGATTTCTTTCGGGAGAAATTCACAGTACTCAAAATTGGTCTTGTTGATCTATTTGGACGATTATCAATGCCGGTTACTCGTAATATGTCTGGAAAACTGGAAAACGCTGAAGAATATCTTCGAGTCAATTTATCTTCACCGCAAGTTTCTTCTTTACCTGTTTCCTTATCTGTTTCTGATAATTTTAAACACACCCCTCATGTCAGCCCAGGTTTTGATAATATTGCTATGGGAGGTAGTGTAGTAGTAGACTCCGATGTTGATTCGGATGTGGCTACCGAATTAGAGATCCTAGAGCTTAAGGTTCAAGAGCTTAGACTTCGCAGCAAACAACGAAAATTGAAGAGCGAGCGCTCTCAACAAGTCAAGACTGCAGCCAGCTGCGTTCGATCTTGCGCCAATCCCTCGGAAAGCCAACTCCTAGACGGTAGCACCATGTATTGTACAGCACAACCATCAGGGTCAAATTGTACTGCCACTCCAGTCCAACCACTCCTGAACTCAGTTAGCCCCATTAGAATGCCTCAAATTGAGATGGATAAGTTCGATGGTACACCGACTAAGTTCTTGAAGTTTATAAGATGCTTTAACATGTTCATAGGAGAACAAACTAATGATGACAACCTACGGTTAATGCATCTTATACACAATTGTGTTGGTATAGCCAAGGAGGCCATAGAGCATTGCATTCTACTGCCCTCTGAGGTAGGCTATAGGAAAGCCATGGGGATTTTACGAAGTCAATTTGGCCAACCTCATGCAGTTTCAGATGCCTTCCTCTCCGAATTACTGTCAGGCCCACAGCTGCAACCTGAAGATATAGTTGGGCTACAACGGTTGTTGAGACAGATGACCAATTGTGAGATAGCCTTATCTCAGATGAATCACATGGCAGACTTGGACTGCTCTACCAACCTTAAGTGCATTGTTCAACGTCTCCCTCGGCACCTACGATGGAAGTGGGCAGAATTGGTAAACGATGGTTTACAGTTTGCTGAACCTAGCTTTCGTTACCTCAAAGAATTCCTCGAAAGGCAACTGTCCTTGGCTACAAGCTGTTACGGCCAGATAGCTAATGGGAATAGGAACAACAACGAAGTAGGGTCCAACGATAAAATGTCCAGAGCTATGCCTTCGCACAGTGTTAATGTCGTGAAGTCACGAGCCCAGAAGTCGTGCATAGTTTGCTTCACAGATCACGACTTATGGGAATGTCAACGCTTTTTGTCGATGAGTCACAAAGAGAGACTAGCAGTGTCAATGCGGCATAAGGTGTGCTTCAACTGTTTGAAACTTAATCACCGAGCTGACACTTGTCGTGCAGCAAGAGGTTGCGATATAGTAGGATGCACTAGACGTCATCATAAACTTCTACACAATGAAGATAATTCAGCATGCAAGACTGTCAACTACTCTAGCACGGAATCCGGAACTTCCTTTTTAGGATATGTGCCGATTCGTATCTTAGGTCCTAAAGGATTTCTAGATACCTATGCCTTTCTTGACAATGGTTCAGATGCTACACTACTGCTGAGTCATGTTGCCCGCCAAATAGGACTGGAAGGGGTTAATACATTGATGCAGGTAACATCTTTCTGTGGAACTACTTCTCAGAATTCATCTAAGGTTGATTTCGAAGTTGAATCCTTAACGGGAGATTACAAGACGAGGGTCAAGAGTGCCTACACCGTGGAAAGCTTACCTGTAAAGAGACCTAAGACTCCTTCAAACGAACAGATGAAAAAATGGCCTCACCTGGCAGAAATTCCCTTTCTAGACGTCGAATGTAAACAGGTCAGTCTACTAATTGGGACTAATGTACCTGAAGCACACTGGGTGCTGGAGCAGCGTATAGGGAAATCCAACCAACCGTTTGCATCTTTGTCAGTTTTTGGTTGGTATTTATTGGGTTCAGGAAACGAATATAAAGAAGCAACCTCTATCTTCTGCTTAGAGGAAAGTGAATCAGTAGAGAACAAGCTTTTGCGAATGATTGAAGCTGAATTTCAGGACAAGCACTCATGCGAAAGGTCCAGTTCTGAAATAGATAAAGGGGTTCTGAAGGCAACCGATAGGGAGATAAGATTGCGGAACGGACATTATGAAGTTCCATTGACTTGGAAAGAGGACTGGCGTAGATTACCGCCTAATAGGTTTGAGGCAGAACGCAGGCTGGACAGTCTTCAGAAGAAACTAAAAAAGGACGAAAGCCTATTAAAGTCCTACAATCAAATACTAACAGACCATGAGTTGAAGGGTTATATTAGTCGCGTTCCTGACGACTTCTCCAAGAAACGTAGATTTATCCCTCACCACCCAGTTATAAATCCCCGCAAGCCTGGTAAAATTAGAGTGGTTTTCGATTGTGCCTTTAAATGTAAGGGAATGTCCTTGAACGATTGTCTGTATTCGGGACCTGATCTGATGAATGACTTGGCTGGGGTACTATTGAGATTTAGAAAACATCGGATAGCCTTGTCAGCAGATATTGAGGAGATGTTTCTTCAGGTTCACTTACCTGTCAAGGATAAAAGTGCCTTTAGTTTCTTATGGTATTCTGAGGGTAGACTGGACTTACCACCGAGCCTGTATGAATTAAACGTACATCCCTTCGGTGCTACCTCATCACCTTTTTGTGCAGCCTATGCTTTAAAACGAGCCGCAATCGACAACGCGAAATTGTTTGACGAGAAGACATTAAGCACTGTCAGAGAAAATTTCTATGTGGATGATTGTTTAGTCTCAGTAGAAACAGTAGCAGAAGCCATAGCTTTATCCAACCAGCTGCGTCAGCTCGCCTCTCTTGGTGGATTTCGTTTGCACAAATGGAATAGTAACAATGAAGAAGTGTTATCCAACATTCCCGTTCGTGAACGGTCCTCAAACATACTGCATTTAGAAGATTCGACGAATGTCGAGAAGACACTGGGTTTATGCTGGTGTGTCAAGTCAGATTGCTTCAAGTTTGAAGTAAATCTGCCAGTACGTCCGATAACGAAGAGGGGAATCTTGTCGTGCATAGCTTCTTTATATGATCCACTCGGTTTTGTCGCCCCACTACTACTTCCACCTAAAAGAGTAATGCAACACCTGTGCCGAAGTGAGTTTGGGTGGGATGAACATGTTGATGTGAGTATCGGTGCCAAATGGGAGGCTTGGCTTGTTGACATTAAGAGAATTAAGGATCTAGAGGTTCAACGTTGTTTTCGACCCCAGACCTTCAGTCCTATAGCAGTTTCAATGCACTTATTTTCGGATGCCTCTGAAATAGGTTTCGGTTCAGTAGCATATCTACGTTACGAGTCCTGTTCAGGAGAAGTAAGCTGCAGCTTTGTTATGGGCAAATCTAGAGTGGCTCCCTTGAAGCATGTCACCGTGCCACGTTTAGAACTACAAGCAGCCGTGCTCTCAGTGAAGCTGTTAAAATACATCTTAGAGGAAATAAAGTTGGAACTAAGTGATGTTTATCTATGGACAGATTCTATGATTGTGTTAAGCTACATCCGCAATACCACATCCCGCTTCAAAACCTACATAGCTAACAGAGTAGGGTTTATACTTGATAACACTACGCGGCCTCAATGGCGACATGTACCAACTAATATGAATCCAGCTGACCTTGCTTCCAGGGGAATAAAGATGAGTGAGTACGAGCGTATACATACCTGGCTCGATGGTCCTGAATTTCTCAAAATCCTAAAAAGGATTGGCCGAATTTCGATGGAAAAAGCGTGCCAATAATTCCATCTGACATAAAGCTAAAGCAAGCCACCATCTTAACGACACAAACAGCCGTAAATCCGATAGACACCTTATTCTCGTATTTCTCTTCTTGGACAAAACTTCGTAGAGCGGTAGCCTGGTTAAAAAGGTTTAAAGTTTTTCTACTAAAACGTCTAGTGCAAGGCCCTTTACAAACGTGTGAGATGTTAGAGGCAGAGGAAGATATCCTTAGATACGTGCAAAAACAAGAGTTCGGTAAAATCAAAGGAGTTATGTGTGAACGCTATTTGGATAGTAAATACAAGCCACTCCTTCAACGTATCAAGAAACTGCATCCTGTCATCTTAGGTGACTTGATATGTGTCGGCGGACGACTGAATAATAGTCAACTGTCAAGTTCGGAAAAACATCCAGTTATATTGCCAGGAACTCATCCTGTCACGGAGGTTATTGTTCGTTATTATCATGAGACTGAAGGACATATGGGAGTAGCCCATCTTTTGTCAGCATTGCGTATGAAATATTGGATATTGAAAGGAGCGGCAGTAGTTAAGCGTGTGGTGAATAAATGCATCGGTTGCCGAATCAGGTCTGCAAAACCTACTGAACAACTGATGGCAGAATTACCCATAGCAAGGGTCACGTCAGATTTTCCATTCTCTAGCACCGGGGTAGATTACTTCGGCCCCTTTATCGTTAGGCGGGGGCGGACTACAGACAAAAGATATGGATGCATATTCACTTGTTTGAAAACTCGAGCGGTTCACTTAGAAGTAGCTTACGCTCTTTCTATCGATTCATTCCTAATGATGCTTTCACGCTTTACCAACCGCAGGGGGACTCCAAGGGAGATATACAGTGACCGGGGTACAAACTTTGTGGGGCTGATCGTGAGTTACAGCAAGTTGTGCCACAATTAGACAGTGATTGTATGATGAGAGCTATGACAAATCGTGGTATAGAATGGAAGTTAAATCCACCTTATGCTAGCCACCGTGGCGGAGTATGGGAGAGGTTGATCAGAAGCGTACGTCGAGTGTTAAGCGCAGTTTCGAAGGAGCAAGTCCTCACAGATGAATCACTCATGACCTATTTGACAGAAGTAGAAAGGATACTAAATAGTAGGCCGCTAGTACCTGTTTATGATGACTCAAGTCAGTTGGATGTGCTGACACCAAATCATATTCTCTTATCAAGAAATCCTGAACAGGTTCCTGAAATCGACGTTAGTTTATGTGGACGTTATTCACGACGATGGAAACAAGGGCAACTCCTTGCCGATACGTTTTGGAGACGGTGGAAGCGGGAGTACTTGACGACCTTACAATCGCGTGCAAAGTGGGTTCAACGACATCGAAACTTACAAGTGGGAGACCTAGTACTAGTGACTGCGGAGCCTTCACCTCGCAATCGTTGGTCAATGGGAATAATTACAGGTGTTACGGCAAGCTGTGATGGGTATATCAGAAAAGTGGATATCAAGACACCGAGGGGTATAGTCAACCGAGATGTGCGTAAGGTTTGCCTATTAGAAGGTATTGAGGAGAGATAAGCACTTTGTAGGATATATAGCTGGATAGGGGATGCAGATGTGGCGAGAGTAAATTGTACCATTTCTGTGTCTTACTAGCAGGTAGAGTAGGGAAAACCAGGCTGGTTTTGAGGGGGCGGTGTTAATTCCTTTCCTACCTGTTCATTCTCAATCTTTCCTTTGTTCAACATTATACTACTTGCCATTAGTAAGTAGTATGATTTTTATATTTATAACAATGACATTTGCTTACAACTGCAGTTAAATTACTTGTTCTATAATCATTCTATTAATGTGTAGTTCTTATTTTTCTTCTCCTTAAACATTATTTGCTGCATTTACCCTACAGTGTATGCTTTACTATTGAAAGTTGTTTGTTCATATTTGTTTATTCTTTGCTTGGCATTCGCGGGCCGTTTGAACCGACACGTGGATCGACCTTGACACAGCATTGCTGTTTTTACTTATTGACTGCACAGTGGTTGTGCATTTGACGGCATTTAGCCACAGACACCTCACATTTTGAGGTTTGTATATTATATATCTATTTTTATGTAATAAAGTACCGTATTGCAGAATATCCTGTATTTTGGACTTTACGCGTCACTCTACGTGTGGTTAAATCTATAGTTTGGATTATTGTTTCGGATTTCTTTCGGGAGAAATTCACAAGGTGTTACTGATTTAGAAGACATAAACGCATTTTTATTCTGTATCCTTTAAACTGAATTTTCATCTGGTTTACACTGGTTAACATAAATATGAACTAAGCAAATTTTGACGATTCGATATTCGTCCCAGGACCCATTACATTTACGTTAACTTTCCTGATAAATAAACCAGGTATTGAATCATTTTGCTTATTCTCATTACAACAGCATCAGAAGTTATGTTTACCAAAATTGTGATAATTACTTATTATTTTTGTTGAAGTCTAACGGTTAGCGGGTTGTATGTAACAAGTATAGGAAAGCTGAGTAGAAATTCACCATTGCAGGGAAAGAATGAAGCGTGGACAGGACTTCTGGTACTGGTATCTATAGGATCACTTTTATTTCCTCAGAATCAGGTCACCATTTGCAGGAAACACCGACAAACCCAATGTACTTTACCGACTCTAGAAGAAATTGATACTTGTCTTTAACCCCAGTCCATTGTCAGCACAACTCTTAACTTCGCTACTATTTCTCTCCGGGAAATGGCGGCTGTTCTTATACCTTCTAAATAAGTAGCAACTCCGTGAATGCGTGCTAAGGTAGTATCCAGTGTCTCCTGATAGAAAACCTATTATTATTAGGATCGCAGTGGATGTGTTTTTTTGGTTGCCAGATCGAGATAATCCTCTAACACTTTTAGAAATCAGTATTTGTAAGACTTCTGTCATTTAGTGTTCTAAATATGTTGTATTGGACTGGCAGCAGATAATGCTCTTATTTTACGTCTACACTGAGACCTTTCGAAAAATCCACATAAATATGTATGGAACCACTTTCTTGCTTAATAATCTCGATGAAGTCTATTCTAACCATTTCATCTCACTTTCCACATATGTGTTCTGAGGCATGGAGGAAGGGTTTTCAGGCAAATAACTGGTATCACTTTAAGTTACTGACACAAGACTAATTTTACAACATCCCAACTATGGATGGAACCCTTTCTCGAATTCCCCAAGTAATGCTGAGGAGTCTTTCTCTTCCACTCTTTACATGTACTCTTTAATAGGATTTTCGAAAGCCATAGTCCTTCAGACCAGTCTAATGCTAACTAGTCTATGTCTGAAATATTCATGTAGTAAGTTGCGATAAACTGAGTCATACGAAAACCCACACTGCACTTGAATAACCCATTCTGACGAAGAATTTTTTCCTTCATACACTAGCTAGGATCTGATCTGTCTTTTCTACAATGTGGCAGGTCCATTTCTCCCCTAGTTTCCTCTATGTTACCACTATTTCAGAATCAGTCTCAACTTTTAGGCACTGATAATATGGATTCGTGGTTCTCTCAGTTCATTTAATTGCTGCAGAAGTGCTTATGTGAAAAGATACAGTAATTCTGACGGGATGCACTTCTGAATTCAGTCGATTTGTCTGCTTGCAGAACATATCTTTAAAGCCTTTCCACTAGTTCCTGTCCATTCTACACTAGCTTATTGATTAGTCATTACCTCACACTTATTAGGTCATACCAACTTCTGTCTCCTTTCTAACTTACAATTAGTGATCCCTTCTTACACCTTACTTTATGTAGTAGAATTTTCAGGGACAAAGTTTACCAGTATCTGATTGGTCAAAAAATTTCTGTGTTAATTATAATTACGATTGTACAGCTCATGAAAATGAATCGTCGAAAAGAAAATTTTCTTCGCTGTTTGTGCCTTTTTCTTATGACTCAGTATGGGAATATTTCGTTCACTGAAGAACATATCTTTGTAACCAATGGTGTGACATCGTCAGTACTTATCAATTTTGATTGGACATAACTTGACATAGTGACAAGTGGCATAGTCCTAGCATCCTGGAGGCGGTTCCCGATATAAACGATAAGGAGAGTCTGGTAATGGGCGCACCGTATTTATTTCAGCCACACTCTGACTACCAGAGTGAAGCTAGGTTGTACCTTTGAGAAGGTTCGTCGGTCGCTGGTGTTCTCCAGCATCTTTCGGTATTATCTTCTTACGTTGTTCTAGTTCGTTTAAAAAGTGCATTCTTATATGAACAAGTTTTGGAGGCTAAAAACCACAGATGAAGATTGATACTTTGAATTGATTTTCTGTCTGAGGTTTCAACTCAAACAGTTTACTTGTGAGGTTGACTATACCCAGCAACTAATGAGAAATCAGATTTCACAAACAGTGAGAAATACAAAAAGTACGACTTGGGAGAATATCATCATATTAAGACTAGGCGAATTTAGGGACAATTAAGTCCATGAGAGGTTTCACATCTCTCGTAATACTGTTGCTGGGTGTCGGTTCAAATGATAAGGATTTACTGATTACACTATCACCACCTTATTATAACTGCACTGAATTAAGGTAAAACCCCGTCGCCAATTTGTTATAACGGTAGGTAATTGAATGAAGACGTTTTCACCTTGCTCTGTCTGCGCCTGAACTAATCTGCCTATCTGCTTGTCGTACCTTCCGACTTAGTAAAGCACGGAAATATCAAAAGACAAAGGCTGGACTGTGACTGTGTATTGAAGTGCGGTAAGAGCCTGATGAGGGTCAGTGAACTGAATTAGAGCTGTGTCCTTCTTATTGAACATAATTTTTACACGAGTAACGTCTCCATATACACCAAAGAGTGTAAAAAGAGCATCCGGATAGACCCTATCCTCGTTGAGATTAGACACTATTAGGACTGTGCTTCCATTGTTGTTGGGTGGTGGGCGAACACCGACGGGGGTCACATGTGAAGAGATGGGCGATTGTACTGATCCAATTACACTTGCATTTCCAGCAGACATGTGAGGAAGCACGCCAGTTTGGACAGCGCCACCTTGAAGGGCTGCAAGAATGGCTGACAAGTTAGGAGACGCTGACATCGACTGAGCACCTGGACCACTATTTTGAGATGTTAGGGCCATAAAACTTGCAGTAGCTGCTGCTGCTGCAGGAGTCAAAGCCAAACCTGATTGCTGAGCAAGAGCTGCCAACTGTGCAGTTAGTTCACTGATTCCCAAATTGCTTGTGTTTGGAGGTGCTATCATTCCTACTGGGAGGTGAATACCTTGATGTGAGAGACTGGGCACGATTGAATTCTGAAAATTTGATGAGGCGTGACTGGGATTGTTGTTTTGATGCCCACCGCTTCCACCTGTAGGCCTCCGAAGACTCATAAGTTCATCTTCAGTTAGTGGATTGTTCTGATAATCTCTACATCTATCACTTTCCTGACGAACCTCCAAAGGACCCCGGTTTTTAGAAAACTGCACGCGAAGTGAACAGCATCCAGTGTATATATTTTGACCATTTAGATGTAGCATTTAATACGGAAAACGTCTTCGTAACGATTGAACCATGCATCAAATACGAGACCAGATATTGGGTCGTAGTTGAACTCACTGATGGAATTTGAGATGCTTTCATATTTGTCTGAATGAGATGTTGATGGAACTTGAATGGACAGCTTCTGAGTGAGAGCTTCGATTAATTTTAGTTGAGCTGCTTCATTCTGAACTTGCTGCTGCTGCAAGATAGATTTGAGATCGTCCAGAGAGATAGACATTGTAATTGGGTTGTAATTAACACAGTCAAAAATGTTATATAGTTGCGCTGAACAGAATAAAAACTATCGTCGTTTGCTTGCTATAACTGCGATGAATTAAAGTAAATCCCATCCCCGTCGCCAATTTATTATACACCTAGCCACTGGTGTTTTTCTGATACTTATATTCTTTGAAAATATTGACCATTAAATTTGGATAATTATCTTTATGACCTTTGTAAAAGCCCGGCGATGTTATTCAAGATGAAATCATTTCATACCTAACAAGGGTTCTCTATGGTTAGACCCATGAAAAATGATTAGAAATGTATGCGGCCATTCACTTGCATGGTAGAGTTTTTAAAAATATACCTTTGCAGAGACGATAAGAAGTAATTGTCAAGGAAGGAGACGCATAAACCGCTGTACACTATTGATTTCTGAGCTACATTATCATATCGGTTTCATGAAACAGAATGTTTTCACTACAAAACTGTGAAATTTTCTAGTGAACAATATGCTCACAGTTGACTGCAGTCCATAATGATGAGTCAGACTATGGCATACATAGAATTAATGCACTGTCCATTTCAATGGTATAAGAAAGCGAGCGAAAACAAGTGTTTGTCAACGTAAACTGATTCTGAATAAGCAATCAGATGATGATTCTCCCTAATTTCCCTTCTGACATAAATGCTAGTCTGAAATTATGCTATGCAAGTTAAACTACTTGCAACGTTTAGGTAGTTTAAGAGTATATATATTCAAATTTAGTATCGCCTAGTTATGTCCATTTTTTCTCAGGTTGCCATCTTTAGTTCTATTTTCTACTAGTTTTGTCTTTTTTCTGTGCGCGCTGATGTAGGCGTTTTTTAGAATCCACATTAAAGGGGTGGAATGCAGCCTGCGTGCACAACTGTCAGCGTATACTCCTTACCCAAATAAATCTGTCTTCAGTTGAAACGCATACAAATCTTGGGAACATAGAAAGCAATGATGTGAACTACGACGCACTGAATCGCTGTAGCACTCTACAACATGAGATATATATGAACACTACTCATAGGCTTTATTATGTCATTAGTGGAATATGCAACACTTTATACATATCTTTGTTGGGGTGGCCATTCATTAGGATTCATTAATTCTAGAAAACATTAATATAAAGACCACTCTTATGGTTTACCGGTTTGAACTATTTATCACCTGAGGAGCAACTAAGTAGTCTAAATGTTTGATTCCTACTATTCTGCAGACAGAAGAAATTTCATCACGATGTTCAGATTTCTAAGAAAAGACTCTGGGCCTATTCCATTCACTCCTTACTTTTCCATGAAGTCAGATTGTCTCGAAAACATGGTTAGAGTGTTATTTAGAGAACTCGTCATGCGTTGAGAGGCTCTTGCTCGGCTGAATGAATGGAAATGGTGAATTATTCGCAGAGTTCTGTGCCTTCATTGACTTAGTGGTTGAGGCAGCATGTACAAGCACAAGGATTTAAACAAAGCAACATAGGTTTCGCCTAACGGACATATCACAGCCTTCATCTCAATGCTGCTCAAAGAAGTGGAAACTCAGTCTGTTAGATACAAAGTGAAGAAAGAGAGCAGATGTGCGCTGAGACCATCATCTAGTGCAAGGAACCATCACGATCAAGCTGAAAGCCTTCAAAACAACTGAGGATAGACCACACTTCAAGTTCAACACCCAGAAACTCAAGGACAATACTACAAAGGACACATGCACGTCAGCCATAAATGCAAAGTGTGGTAATTGAAAATTTCCAACTTACTGTTGCTTGTTAATATATTTCTTATATGAATTGAATAATAATTCCGCCAAATACAAATTCCTGAATTCATCCTCTCTGTGTTTTGGTTGAATTCCTTTAATTCGGTCATTGCGAAATACTAATGCCACTATTATAAATAATTACATATTGGCGTCTCTATGGAACTAAATAACCTTGGAAAGTTTCCTATAAACGCTTCACCGCGGAAATCGCCGATTACCTTGAATGTTTTGACGCATGGTGCATGTCGAAGAATGTTCGCGATGACGAAATTTCAGCTCAATTTATTACTGCTATTGGGCTAGATGCGTACAGCTTAGTGATGACTCTGTCGTTTCCTGATAAACCAATTTCTCTGCCATATGATAAGTTCCGTGAACTTCTAATAGATCACTTCCATATAACTACTTTTGAAACACAAGAGAGGGCTCAAATCAACAAACTTGTTCGTGCTCCCAACCAGAAAACTAGAGACTTTATTCTTCAGCTTCAGATACAAGCTTCAAAGTGCAACTTTGGAGATCAGCTGCATACTGAACTACGTGATCGTCTAATTTCTGGAGTCAATATTCTTAAGTTAGAGAAAGAGTTAATTCAGATTCCTTCCTGCACCTTTCAAACTGCTAAGGATCTATGTATTACATATGAAGATGTCAGCAGTGGATATCAAGCTCCCACTACGTCAGTATCTGATGTCATGCTGTCCAAAGTCGAAAATACAAGTGTTCATAGAAAGAAATCCAAACTGTCGTCCACATGCAATGGAATGCAGCAAGAGAGAAAAAGACAATAAACCGTGTTTTTCTTGTGGAAAGATTCATCTACGAAGCACTTGTCGTTTTCGGGGTGCTAAGTGTCATAAATGTGGTAAGGTTGGACACATCAAGTCTGTTTGCAGAAGTTCAAATGTTACTCAAAATTCTCATGATTCTTCCAATTTATCTGGTAAAATGCAGTCAATGTCTCTTTCAACTTTTCACGATACTAAATCTCATCTAATGAGAACCTTCACTACAAGTTTAGGCAAGTCTAACTGTTTTATAATTGATACTGGGAGTACTGAATCTATAATTTCTAAGAAAGATTTACTATCGATTTGTTAGCATGTTCAGGTGGACCCTACTAGTAGTTCAATTACAGGCATAACTGGTCATAAACTACCTCTTATCGGTGCTACTAACATTTCTTGGAAATCAGACAGTGGTAATTTTGTAAATATCCCCTTTGTTGTTAGTGAATATGGTCCATCTTTATTGGGATTAAAAGTCTTTAGATTGTTAAATGTTCAAATCTCACATATATAATGAGTTGTTTGATGAATCTTTGTTCAGAGAATTACTTCTCCAATGTTCAAAGAGTGTAGGTGGCATGAAGATTGAGACCATCCATCTTGAAATAGAGGGTGATTCTATCTTCTGAAGCGCCGATTAATTCCATATGGATTGCGAGATGCAGTTAAGAAAGAGTTAGACAAGTTGGTTGAGCAAGGCATACTTATGACAGTTGAGTCTTCGAATTGAGCTACTCCTATTGTTACGCCACTGAATGCTGATGGAAAAACACCTAGAATTTGTGGTGACTACCGCCTTACACTCAATAGTCGTCTACTACAGAAACTGAAGACATTCTCTACAAGCTACATGGCTCAAGATACTTTTCCAAAATAGATCTAAAAGATGCCTATTTGCGAATTCCTCTTGACGAGGCGTCTAGTGCATTAACAACCATTAATACTGCATTTGGATTGTTCAAGTATAAGTTCTTACCTTTTGGTTTAAAGGTTTCCTAATGTAATAAATCAGATGGTAGATATATTAGATGGTGATGAGTCTTATCAAGAAGACATTAAAGTTCATGGTCCTAATATCGAATTGCATAATGAACGTCTTTTAAAACTGTTCAGGCGTTTCTGTGAGAAAAATGTTCTTGTTAATCCATCTAAATGTCATTTCATTTTGTCGTCCGTATCATGCTTGGGATACACAGTAGACTCCGAAGGTTTCGGACCTGATGCTAGTCTTCTGGTACCTCTAGATCAGGCACCGTCACCTAATAACATGTCGTCGTTGAGATCCTGGATTGATACTCTTTAGTTTTACTCCAGATTCATTCCCAGTTTCACTGAACTGTTATCTCCACATTTTGACATTGTCTCCAGTACACAATTTAAGTGGGAACAACAACATGAGAATATCTTGCGAAAAACTTTGGAGTTTTTTTAATAAACAAGCTTTCTTAAGACCTTTTTCATCGAAAGATAAGTCTGTTATCACTACAAATGCTTCTCCTATTGTCAATGTAGTTGAAGATTGAACGATCAATTCATGGTTGTTTGCTCAAAACCAACTTCCCCAATTTTCGCGGAGGCATCAATACGACAGTCATCGTCCCATCGGTCGCTGTTCAGAAAGAAGATTAAAAAACCGTCAGAAGTAATATTGTGATTTATTATTGTAATATTTGTTCACAGACCTTAATGATAACATTTTTTATATGTTGGTGTTACAATAAAGAATTCTCGAGTGGCAATCGGTGTTTTGGTTTTTGCGTCCGTTATTACTAAGCGTTTCTGAGAAACTTCAAAGAACAGCGTGAGTCTCAGCGTAGCAAGAGCTGGGCATTAACGGTTTAGGAGACGTGGCTGACATCTATGGGTATAGCTGCAGTACTTGAGCAAAATGGACAACCTGTTATTTGTATTTCAAGACGTC